CAAGTAGAAAAACACCTTTTTGCTCACAGACTCGCAAACCTCATTAGGCGCACTTTAAACTAGGCCCACTGGGGGAGGGGGACAACAGCCTTGCGAACACTACTTTACCCACAATGTCAGGGAACTGCCAGAAGGCTAAACGGAGGGCTGCACAAACACAAAAAGGACCAAGTACCGAAAGCACAATAATCCCAATTAAACAGCTCAGGGGAAGATCTCAGGGGCTCACATGTCTTTACACTAATGCACAGAGCATGGGAAATAAACATGACGAACTCCAACTTTTAGCACAACACCACAAATATGATATCATAGGCATCACTGAAACCTGGTGGGATGACTCCTATCGCTGGAATGTAGACATCGAGGGCTATAACCTCTTTCACAGAAACCGAACAAAGGGGAGAGGAGGCGGAGTAGCCTTATATGTCAAAAACTCTTATGCTGCAGAAGAAATGCATGACAGCAATCCGGGAAACCAGCTTGAAAGCATCTGGATAAGAAGGGAACTGGGACTCAAAAAGATCTTGTCGTAGGAGTCTACTACAGACCTCCAAGCCAGGAGGAAGAACTTGATGAAGTCTTCTGCCAACAGTTGACCAAACAGGCACAGAGAAGAGATGTAGTAGTCATGGGCGATTTCAACTATCCCGATATTTGCTGGAAAACAAACTCGGCCAAGAGTACAAAGTCCAACAAATTCCTCGCTTGCCTTGCAGACAATTTCATGGTCCAGAAGGTAGAAGAGGCAACAAGGGGGTCGGCTACTCTTGATCTCATCCTAACAAATGTGGAGGACCTGATCGATGCAGTTGAAGTGGTAGGATCCTTAGGGGCAAGTGACCATGTGCTCCTGCAATTTGAGGTACAAAGGAAGGCCGAAACTAAGACAAGTCAAACCCGCATTTTGGACTTTAGGAGAGCTGATTTCTGAAAAATGAAGGAAACACTGAGCAGCATTCCGTGGACACAGATACTAAAAGACAAGGGAGTTACGGATGGATGGGAGTTTCTCAAGAGTGAAATACTCAAGGCGCAATTGCAAACCGTGCCAACAAAGAGAAATAATAGGACAAGTGCAAAGAAGCCAGAATGGATGTCCAAGAACTTCTAACTGTGCTGAGACACAAAAGAGGCATGCACAAGAACCGGAAAAAGGGAGAAATCACCAAAGAAGAATTCAAACAAATAGCCAACAGCTGTAGGGAAAAGGTCCGCAAGGCTAAAGCACAAAACGAGCTCAGGCTTGCCAGGGACATTAAAAACAATAAAAAGGGATTCTTTTCTTATGTCAGTAGAAAAAGGAAAAACAAGGAGGCAATAGGGCCTCTTCGAGGAGAAGATGGGGCAATGCTGACAGGGGATAGGGAAAAGGCAGAACTACTTAATGCCTTCTTTGCCTCAGTCTTCTCACAAAAAGAAAGTCATCTTCAACCTCAGCAAGATGGAGTGGATGAGGGATTAGAGGACATCCAACCCCAAATTGGGAAACAAGTCATCCAGGAATACCTGGCCGCTCTAAATGAGTTCAAGTCCCCAGGGCCAGATCAACTACACCCAAGAGTATTGAAGGAACTAGCGGAAGTCATTTCGGAACCATTGGCAATCATCTTTGAGAGTTCTTGGAGAACGGGAGAAGTTCCAGCAGATTGGAGGAGGGCCAATGTGGTCCCAATCTTCAAGAAGGGAAAAAAGGATGACCCAAACAACTCCTCCGGTCAGCCTCACGTCAATACCAGGCAAGATTCTGGAAAAGATTGTTAAGGAAGTGGTCTGAAACACTTAGAAACAAATGCAGTCATCGCTAATAGTCAACATGGATTTATCAAAAACAAGTCATGCCAGACTAATCTGATCTCTTTCTTCGATAGAGTTCAAGCTGGGTAGATGCGGGGAATGCCGTGGATGTAGCGTACCTGGATTTCAGTAAGGCCTTCGACAAGGTCCCCCATGACCTTCTGGCAAGGAAACTAGTCCAATGTGGGCTAGGCAAAACTACGGTGAGGTGGATCAGGAATTGGTTAAATGGACGAACCCAGAGGGTGCTCACCAATGCTTCCTCTTCATCCTGGAAAGAAGTGACGAGGTGCCACAGGGTTCCGTCCTGGGCCCGGTCCTGTTCAACATCTTTATTAATGACTTAGATGAAGGGTTAGAAGGCAGGATCATCAAGTTTGCAGACGACACCAAATTGGGAGGGATAGCCAATACTCCAGAGGACAGGAGCAGGATTCAAAACGATCTTGACAGATTAGAGCGATGGGCCAAAACTAACAAAATGAAGTTCAACAGTGACAAATGCAAGATACTCCACTTTGGCAGGAAAAACGAAATGCAAAGATACAGAATGGGGGACAATGCCTGGCTCGAGAGCAGTACGTGTGAAAAAGATCTTGGAGTCCTCCTGGACAACAAGTTAAACATGAGCCAACAATGTGATGTGGCGGCAAAAAAAGCCAATGGGATTTTGGCCTGCATCAATAGGAGCATAGTGTCTAGATTTAGGGAAGTAATGCTACCCCTCTATTCTGTTTTGGTTAGACCACATCTGGAATATTGTGTCCAGTTCTGGGCACCACAATTCAAGAGAGATATTGACAAGCTGGAATGTGTCCAGAGGAGAGCGGCTAAAATGATAAAAGGTCTGGAGAACAAGCCCTATGAGGAGCGGCTTAAGGAGCTGGGCATGTTTAGCCTGAAGAAGAGAAGGCTGAGAGGGGATATGATAGCCATGTATAAATATGTGAGAGGAAGCCACAGGGAGGAGGGAGCAAGCTTGTTTTCTGCTTCACTGGAGACTAGGACGCGGAACAATGGCTTCAAACTACAAGAAAGGAGATTCCATCTGAACATTAGGAAGAACTTCCTGACTGTGAGAGCTGTTCAGCAGAGGAAATCTCTGCACCAGAGTGTGGTGGAGGTTCCTTCTTTGGAGACTTTTAAACAGAGGCTGGATGGCCATCTGTCAGGGGGGTTTTGAATGCAATATTCCTGCTTCTTGGCAGGGGGTTGGACTGGATGGCCCATGAGGTCTCTTCCAACGCTGATTCCTTCTCTGTGGTAGCCCCCGACTCTGGAACTCTCTCCCCAAGGACATCAGACAAGCCCCAAAGTTCGCAGTCTTTAGGAAGAGCTTGAAGACCTGGCTGTTCCAGTGTGCCTTTCCAGAATAGGAAACTCCTAGCATCATGTCCCAAATGCACTTTATTAGAGATTTAAGATTGTCTACACACCGCACCTACCTCTAAAAACCTTACACTCCACCTGTCATGTCCAGCACTTTTAAATTTTATTCATTACATTTGGCCCGGCCTAGTTTTAAATGCGTCATGGTGTTATTGTTTTTTATGTTTATTGTTATTGCTTTAATGTTTATTGTTTTGCTTTATGAGTTTTATTGTTGTATTTGTTATGCTGTTGTTTTATTGTGGGCCTTGGCCTTTGTAAGCCGCACCGAGTCCTTCGGGAGATGTTAGCGGGGTATAAATAAAGTTAATAAATAATAATAATAAAAGAGATAGAGTAGCTCTGGGCCCAGAAAAAACACACCTCTTTTACCTGTCTGGCCCGCCCTTGTATCCTATTACCGTACCTATCCTATTACCGTACCTCCACCTCTGCCTCTCAGATCTCGCTCCTGAAGACTGCAGTAAAGTGGTGCAGGTGCGCATGTGCGAGATCTGAGAGGCAGAGAAGGAGGTACAGTAATAGGAAAATTACCATATTAAAATCAAATCTGATGCTTTTAAAAATTTTATTTGGTGTGTGTTGGAAGAGGGGTAGTCTTACACGGCGAGTATATCCCAAACTCTATATTTTAAACTGGAAAAGTTGGGTGTCGTCTTATACGCCTAGTTGTCTTACATGCCGGAATACACGGGTAAATTAAGTTCCATAAATTAATTTAAAATAAATTAAGTTCCATCTTGTATCCTGTGACATCAGAGCCCCTCCCCTAGCAACAATATAATATTAGATATTACTAATATTTTGAATGATATATTAGTACTATGCTAATAATGTAGTATGTTGTATGTAAATATGACTTGTAAGCCGCTCTGAGTCCCCTTCGGGGTGAGAAGGGCAGCATATAAATGTTTTAAATAAATAAATAAATTTACCTAATTTTTTTCTGGACCCTCCTACCAACAGAAAAGTAGTAGTGGTGATATATACTACCAATGCAATAGGATACACATACATGTAAACGCAAACACACACAATCAGGCTGGGGCACTTGAGGGCTTTCTTTTTTTTCCTTCAAAAGATTAATAGTGAAGAAAATGAGCCCATGGAGAAGGAATAGCATCACTGTTAAATGTCTTGTTTGTTTTTCATTCAGCTTAGGAATGGATCCAGCAAATTTTCTTTCACTGAGCACATAAAAGTATGTGTTGGTTTACTGGGTAGTAAAACACTTGTTCAATGTGTTGTTGAAGGCTTTCATGGCCAGAATCACTGGGATGGTGTGAGTTTTCCAGACTGTATGGAATATGGTCATACAGCCTGAAAAACTCACAGCAACCCAAAAATACCTAAACTGGCAGAAACTGTGTTAACAGCATTATGTAAAAATATGTACGCATAATGTCTGCAGATTAGGTGGAAGGAAATTTGACATATCAAATATCACATTTTGGAGAGCTTTTAAAAGGAAAAAAATCAGGAATACCTGGGATAATTTTATATCTGGTTTGTAATCAAATATGTGTGTATGTACAATCAAATAATACGATTTTTGCCTTTCATTTGTGCCAGCCATTGGCTTACAAGTATTTCTATATGTTTCACTCTGACACTATACACATGTCACTGCTGTCCTTCCTATTCAATTTCAATCTGAAACACAAGGCTTCATATTACGTTGGAGAAAAGAATTTCATATACATACAGCTATAACATCAATCCCCACTAGTATACCAGTTAAAATGGTTTTAATGTAAAACCCCGCAAAAACCCCCAATGGTTTCAGTGATAAAGTGCAATATTGGCAAGTACGCTTTTAATTTATTAATAGTATACTTTATTTATATCCTGCTTTCTCCTAGGAATGGCACACAAAAGTACCTAAAAATAATGTACAATTTAGAACTTTTCTTCTTCATGAGATCCACATCTAGTTGTTTTGCTGGCTTTACAGCTATAGAGGTTTTTTGCTCCTGTCTCCATCATTCCAGTACTGTTCAGTCTGCATTTCGGTGAGGCGTGAGATGGTCCGCTGAAATGCAAAAATCTCTTCTTCTCCCGTGAACATAGAAAGTGCGCTCGCTGAATCCTACAGAGAGGTGAAGACAAAGAACACAAAGATGTAAGAAGTGTGAAAAAAACATTTCAATAGAAAACCATCAATACCTTGTGGCTCAGAAATATTTCATGTTGTCATGTCATGTTGTCATGTCTGGATTACTAGCCCTTTTACTTTCAAGCTAACATACAGCAAGCCAGTGGTGTCTTGGTGTGAGTGGTGTTGTAGCACACGAGAAGATCTGGGTTCAATCCCTGCTTGGCCACACAAACCAACTGGGTGGCTTCAGACAAGTCACAGTCTCTCAACCTCAGGGCAGCACATTCTGTAATTTAGCCCAACAACATGAACTGTTTTGTTAATAATAAACGAATAATAATAAACTTTATTTATATCCCACCACCATCTCCCAAAAGGGACTCAGAACGGCTTACAAGACACATTGATTGCAGTATATAACATACAATGATACATGAGTATAAAACAATATCACATAAAAATTATTTTAAAAAGCAACCACTATCAACACATAAAATAAAATAACACAATTTAAAAATGCAGACAATCTGTAGTTAAAATCAGCTGCCATCAATTCACAACTAAAGTGCCAGAGTGTCAGCCTCATATGGACCCATTTCAGCCTACTCGTTGTTTATTTGTTTAGTCGCTTCCGACTCTTCATGACCTCATGGACTAGCCCATGCCAGAGCTCCCTATCGGCCGTGGCCACCCCCAGTTTTTTCAAAGTCAACCCAGTCACTTCAAGGATACCATCCATGCCATCTTACCCTTGGTTGGCCCCTCTTCCTTTTTCCTTCCTTTTTCCCCAGCATCATTGTCTTCTCCAAGCTTTCTTGTCTTCTCATTATGTGGCCAAAGTACTTCTTTGTCTCTAATATCCTTCCCTTCAGTGAGCAGTCAGGCTTTATTTCCTGGATTATGAACTGGTTTGATCTTCTTGCAGTCCAAGGCGCTCTCAGGATTTATCTCCAACACCACAGTTTAAAAGTGTCTATCTTCCTTCGCTCAGCCTTCCCTATGATCGAGCTCTCGCATCCATAGGTTGCTACGGGGAATAGCATTGCTTTAACTATGCGGACCTTTGTTGCCAGTGTGATGTCTCTATCTTCACTATTTTATAGAGATTGGTCATTGCTTCTGATTTTCTGACTGCAATCTGCTTCTGCAGTAATCTTTGTGCCAACTCGAGGGGCTCCTTAAGATATTCCAGATTTATGATGGCAAATAACACCTCAATAAATATAGTAATATTTGTATTATCTTGTGCTTATTATCTTCCTGAAGACCAGGAACATGCTTCTGGTTTCATCAGCTTCTGGCCCAGGTTCTTTGCAGGGCACAGTTCCTACATCTCATTTCTAAGGCACCCATACATCTCTGACAAAATGGAATAAAGATAGCAGCCATTTGCCATTTGCACAATGGATTGCAGATCCGCACTAAATTTTCCAGGTCATATTGTGGGCCTTTGTATTATATTTTGATGTTTACACGTGTGTGCAATATTTGATGTAAACATATTACTAATCCCTCCTACACAAAAATGGTTCCAATGTTGTAATTAAGTATTTATTCCAAGAATAGATTAGGACATTTTTCTGTGAAATCCAACATTTAAAAGAGCAATGCATAAGTTGAATGTACATATCCTCCACTCCAGATAGATTATTATTGCTTTGGAAGATGCCAAAAGTAAGTTTCTGTACATTAAGGTATCCAAGTATAAATGTGTTTAAGCCACTGCAACGTCATCACATAGATGCCGTTTCAGAAAAACACAGTTGTGCCACAACAATAACTGCATACTATTTAAGAAATGTTTCTAAAGTCATGTCCAAGTACTGCTGATGTAAGGTCTGCACAACACAGATGGCTTTGGGAGGATCAAAAAGGCCATTAAGAGAATGTCATATTTAGCTCAACTTCCCACAGCATCATTTTTTGAGGGTGGGAATACCTGTCTTTCACAGCACAATAATCACCACTGCATAATACTCCCAAAATCGGTGTTTTTCCTCTCCTCACGTAATTGTCACAGCCTTGATTAATTGCGTCAATGTACTGCTGGCAGACAACCTGCATATAGTGTAGCCAGCGCAGGAAGACAGCTTCGCCTGCTCTATGCAGTCAAGCCAGCATGGGAAAAATTCCAGGTTTCCCTGATCGCATGACTTTCCTGTGCTAGTCTGACTATACAGCAGGCGATGCTGTCTTCCTGCACTGGATACGCTGTATGAAGACTGTCTGCCAGAAATACACTGACCTTTTTATTGCATAATAGTCGCACCCCCTTTTTTCAGCCGAAAAAAGCCCTCCAAAATGTGACTCTGGTGTGATAAAATATGGTATATTTGTATGATGTCACTGCCAGCATTTTTCACAGGCATTTATGGTTGACATTAAGGATGGTACTATTGGTCCACCTCACCATAGTTGTTACGTTGGAAGGTCAATAACACAAAGACCAAACTGCATGGCTTCAGCAACACTGTATTTACTGTGTTGTTTCAAGCAACCACATTTATCTTCAAAATCTATAAACAAAAGTGCTGTTATGCATGTATTAATATGCCTTCCAGTTGCCAGTCAACTTATGGTGATCTGTGAACTTCATAGTTTTCTTAGAGAAAGAATGCTCAGAAGTGGTTTTGCCTGTTCCCTTCCTTTAGCAACAAGTGAAACAGTGATAGCCATTTTCTACAGAGAGCAATAACTGTAGAAAATGGCTACATTTTTGGATTCAACTCTTCATGATACAGATGGATTATCATAAACTGCATAATGCAAATATTTAAACGATAATAAACACTAATGTATGGGCATTCACAATGACTTTTTTGAGCTGCTGTCAGTTTTCTGGGCTGTATGGCCATGTTCCAGAAGTGGTTCCAAACTGTATGAACCCAAAATGAAGGACATTGAAGAGCACCCCTCTCTTCCACTTGACTATAACTTGGTTCCAAATCTTTTAACTTGAAGGGAAAACACAGCTAAATGGAACTTCATCAAATCTGAACTTTTATTACAACATGGAACTGACCCAATACTTCTAGCATATTAAAAACATATCGCTAACAAAGATGAAATGTGTCTCTAGAACTATGCTAAATTATAATAAAAGAAAAGTGTGACATTGAACCTGCCAAAAAGGAACAGAATGGCCAATTGAACCTTTTTTTGGTTTGTTATACCATAGTGTCAATACTCATTCCAAAGCTAATTATACTCTCATCCAACGAAGACACTGATGTCCATAGTGCTTACCTGGCTCAACCCCAAATCATCCATCAATACTCTGCTTTCGTCCAGTCTGCTGTCATGGTGCTGTTCTTGACTGAATATGCTTTCGAGTGGCGCTGATGCAGAGCAGACAATACGCACCTGGAAGAGAGGGAAATGGCTGAAGGCGCCATCACTTATAACTCCCATTTCTCCCTTTGAATGATTTGACATTTGGGTTTTTGAAAAAATAAATACAGTACATTCCAAAGTTCATTCATTTCAATTGGTATGTGTAGCAAATTGTATAGGGCAGGGCTTCTTGAACTTTTCCACTCGGGACCTCTTTTGACCCAAGAAATGTTTATGTGATGTTTGGTGCATAGGCATATAAAATAGGTAAAAAAAATTAAACATTACTGATAACAAATCAGCATTTCCAAGTGATTCTATATAGGGTGATTTCCCTTTTTATGAAGTACAGATGAAGTAGCTTCGGCAGTCCACTGTAAACACTGCACAACAGATATGTATACAAATCTAAAACAGGTGACATTCAGGAAAAAATGGGACCCCATTTGGTCTCGGAACCCATAGTTTAAGAAGCAGTGGTATAGACGATGGCTTTAAGTAGCTCTCTATAAGGATGTAGAATGTCATTCTTCCAGTGATAAAATATTATTGTGCTTTGAGTAATGGAGCTGCCGTATCTCCATAACAGAAGTGATACATTAAGGGTGGGCGACTGTGGAAGGCTGGGGTGCTACACCAGCTCTATAAGAGACAATGGAGAGCTGCACCATTGCACTGACAATAATTGCCCTCAAATGCCCTCTAGAGAATTCTTACCATATTTTTTAGCCTTCCTGTTTCAAGAAAGTCATCTTCTGGGTCTATATTGACCCTGCTCCATGCCCACAATGTTGTTGTGTGTGTGCGTGTGTGTGTGTAAAAAAAGACTGGATTTCTGTGCCAAGACATTCTTCAAAGGGTTTTTAATCATAATCGATATGTCCTGATTGCATAAATATTTAAGTGTGTGCCTATAATCACATATAGGGTGAACCTTAATGTCTTCCATTACTTTTTTAAAACATCAGCTTAAATATAGGGAACCTTTTTAGTTGTTTAAATATTGCTGATTTTGCTTCCATGATTGAAACCTTTGCAAATCCAAGTTAAGTGCTGCATTTATCATTACTATTTCATCACAGGTCTGACAACTCAGGCAAAAACTGAGAGTACCCCCCCCCCCCCGCCTGTGAAAATTAATTTCGCTTTGGGGCAAGGCTACTAACATTTTACTTGTCCCATCACTTCTAAAAAACGATGGCTGAAATGTCTGGTGCACTATGAATTATGCTTTCAGATGAAATAAAAGCAAAGAACACAAGAAAGGAAACAGATCAGCCACCTGGAGTGACTGAAACCAACCATCCAGCTGGGCAATTGCGACATGTATGATATCCAGCCTATGAAACACCCTAGCGGTCTTTAACGACCACAACAAAAACATGAACGTTAGTTTGGACATCATTTGTGTGGACAGAAGATTGTTGGGGGCACAGGATATATTGACAACTTCCTTTTACAATTAATCCTAGTTTGGAGAAGGCAGTATGGGGCAGTATTTTCTTTTTAGCATTAGAATTTGAGATCACCAACTAAAATTACTGGCAATACATTTAGAAAAAGCAAACTTATGTACAATCTCAGTTTAATTTATGGAATTATCTGCCACAGATTGTAGTGATGGCAGAAACCAAGACCTTCAGGAAACAGGTCTTTGGAGAGAAGTGATGGGGCAAACAGATAAAGGCTATTCTGTTCATGAGCCTCCTATGTCTCGGCATGAGCTTAGCCTAATGTCTTTCAAAATTACAGTCATTTTCCCCACCCTCGATCTATATATTTATTATATAACTATTGCATGACCTAGCCATAGCCCACACACACCTTAGACCAGGCATGAGCAAACTTTCTAATTTGGGGGCCATATGTGGGCTGGAGCAGGGCGGGTGGGCCGGGAGGGGTTTTTCCCCATGTCCCCTCCCTGCCCTTTCCTCCCCTTCCTCTTCTCTTTTGGAGGCAGAAAGAGAAGGAAACACAGGAAACGTTTGGATCCCAAAAGGGTTGGTCTTGGTCAGGGTGAGATAGTGGATTGGAGAGTAAAACAGTATCCATTAGACTCTGTATTGCCTAATCCTGATAAATAATCCTAGAATCCTAGAGTTGGAAGAAAACACAAGGGCCATCCAGTCCAACTCCCTGCCATGCAAGAAGGCACAATCAAAGCAGTCCTGATAGACAGCCTCTGTGGAAAAGCCTTCAGAGAAGGAGACTCCACCACACTCTGAGGCAACCTATGCCACTCTGCAGGAAGTTCTTCCTGATTTTTTCAGCCAAATTTCTTTCCCTGCCATTTGAACCCATTGCTCCCTTGTGACCTGTTCTCTAAAGCAGTAGAAAATCCATTTCCCCTCCTCCACAATGGGACACCCTTTTAAATCTTGAAACATTGTTTTTATGTTCCCTCTCTACCTTATCTTCTCCTAGCAAAACATCCCCAGGAGGAAAGGAGGAAGGGAGGGAGGGATGAAGAGAAGGAAGGAAGAGTGGAAGGGAATGGAAGGAGGGAGGAAAGGGAAAGAGGGAGGGAAGAGGGAAGGAAGGAAAGACAAAGGGAAGGAAGGAAGGAGAAAGAGGGGGGGGAAGGAGGGAGGATAGAGGGAAGGAAGGACAAAAGGGTGGAAGGAAAGGAAGGAGGGAGGGAGAAAGAGGAAGGGAAGGAAGAAGGAAGGAAAGAGAGAAGGAAGAACGGAGAGGATGGTGAGAGAGGAGGGGCTGAGAAAAGAATCCAAGGGGCCGCATCCAACCCCCAGACCTGAGTTTGCCGATACTTGGCCTTAGACTAAGGCAGTATAACAGACAGTGAATACTTCTGACTGAAAATGAGAGTGTCATTTCTAAAAATATCTCCATGAACAACCATTTCCTCTTAGCAGAAACTAATCCAACACTGAAAGTTAGACAAGATTCCCCCTGTCCCCCTGTTAAAGCAGCTATTGTTTTTAAATGGAAATTTATGATAGTCACCCAAAGGTGCGCACTGGGTATCTATCTATGTTCAGATAACAAGGCAAGGAACTGTGGCAACCCTGGCTTGTTATGGATAAGTAGTGTGTTTGTCTATGAACAAATCAGAGGGCATGAATGATATGATAGCAGTGGTTTCTTTAGCTACTCATACTGTAATCAAAGGCCATTAAGGAGTGTGCAACTGCAATACTGTTCATAATTGGAGAATCCAAGGTTTGAATGGCTCCCATGTTTATTATAACATCCAATCATGGCTTGCATTAGGCTTAGTCATTCATAGGGAAATTCAGTAGTTAATATCCCTGGTACTACTTTTGTAACTTCAAGTAATAACTCCATAGCATAATTTTTACATGACTTCCCCTCATTGCATGGCTAATTTTCGCAGAAGCAGGGACGTGTGTGAGATTTATATGCATTAAACATTACAAACTAAGTGTCTACCTTCTTGTCATAAAATGTATCGATGAGAGTAATGAAACGTCGAGCTTGCGTCCTTTTTGCCATTGTAAAGAGAGGTATGTCACGAACAAAGACTAGGTCAAAATGGGTAGCTATTTCCAAATAATCACTGGCTCCAAGCGGCTGAAAAAGGAAATGAGAAATATGACATGTCAGAATACCTATAGATTGGCATGCATCATGTTTTGAAATGTCACTATCTTCTTACAGTGGAACACACACTATTTGGTTTTTTGCATTATGGTGAAAAGTCTGTGTAATTAAGAGATGAATTCCTTAAATTAATAACTGTTTCCCTAATTGACCAATTTCCTAATAATGTGCATCAGCATCTATAAAATAAGAGATAAGGATTTTATTGTTTTGCATTTCATTTGAATAATCATTTTCCAACTTTTTTAAATTGATAAGTTTAAGAAAAAACATCAAGGGAATAATTTTATAATAGTTTTTTTCCCCATCAGGCCAAAAAAGATCCAATGTGATGTGCATTTATTGTGTCTTTTCACTGCCAAAGCAAAAGATTCAAGGGGGGGGTAGTAATTATGGGGTACCGGGGGGGGGGGATCTCATTCTTATCCCACTGTTGGATTATTAATAGAAACTGACCCTTCTCACAACGTTCATCTACCAAGGTGTTTATTTTGAAAGCAAAGCAACTTGCACAAAATCACACAGCGACCATAAGAATTTGACAGATAAGTTGCAAATGTATAATTACAATCCAAAAGTATCTGATAAGTAACTATGACAAACCCCTACAAAACAATGTAGCTCAATAACACTCTTTAGTGTATCTTCTTTGCTTAGCACCTAGATGGGCACCAAGACTGAACAAGATATTTTTTTCTGTTCTCCACTTTTGCCTCTATTGGACAAGGTAATCACTCTCTGCAAAGGGACTGAACGCAGATTTACCAGAGCCTTTCCCATTCTCCCTGGCCCTACATTTTACTAAATGTCAACATGCACTTGTTGAAACCACCCTCTATGCTGCGAATAGTCCAAATATTCTGAAACCTGGGACTCTTAACACATAACTGGCCACGTTAAATTGGTAGCAATGATTTTATTTGGAATCCAGGCTGCCGGATTTTGGGTTTCCTTTGTATCTTGCTATTCCTTCTCTCAACTCTTTTAAAAAGAAACGTCTGAAGATTTGGCTTTTTGTTTGTTTGTTTGTTTGTTTGTTTGTTTGTTTCAGGAGCGACTTGAGAAACAAGTCACTTCTTGTGTGAGAGAATTGGCCGTCTGCAAGGAGGTTGCCCAGTGGACACCCAGATTTTTTTGATGTTTTACTATCCTTGTGGGAGGCTTCTCTCTTGTCCCCACATGGGGAGCTGGAATTGACAGAGGGAGCTCAACCCGCTCTCCCCAGATTTGAACCACGGACCTATTGGTCAGTAGTCCTGCTGGCACAAGAGTTTAACCCATTGCGGTTGTTTTTTTTTATGGGCGTTTTCAGTCAAAGGTGGAATATGAACGTATTCAAAGACAAGAACGGTAAAACATAGTGCTATATATTTTGGGAAGGCGAGGGGGAGATCTAATGAAGTAGTTAACCAGTAGGGACCGTTTTTCTAGATGGAAAGCTAAATACATTTTAAATCAGGCATTGTGTGTGTGCGCATATGTGTATGTGTGAGCATGCATGGAGATCAGTGTCCTGGGGAGCAAGACAATAGAAACCTATGATACACCACAAAAATTAAAATAAAATGTTAAAAAAAAGTATTTATTCAACCTTCGCATGAAAAAATAAGTTCAGTACACACATTTCTTGTTACTACTGAACTACCTTTATAGCCACATAGATTTGTCTCTGAATAGTGGTGTACAACACATTAAAACATAGGATCTTTTGCACCACTTGTTTTTTAAAATCTCTAGTGCCACTGGATTAGATCCTCCTCAACACAGAAAACACGTGGCCTGCCACAAGAGCTTCTCAACAGCATCCCTTCAGCCTTGCCAGCTGCTATCAGACAGCTGATGTTCCCTTGGTGGCATTGTGAGGGAGTTGGACACATCTGCTGAGGAGATAGACACGGAGAATGGGAAGTATGTTCTTGGCAAAAGAACCTGTGTATCTTTGAAGACAATGAGATTTTGAATGTTGAGATGCTTAGCAATAAGAGAACCCCTAAAGCTTATAAATAGGCAAAATAACCTGTGATCTTTTTAAAATGCTTTGAAATAAGAGCACAAGTCACTAAATATCACACTCACAAGTACAAAGCATAACGCCAGCATGCTTTCAAATTATAAATAAAGCTGATGGAAACTTGATATTCAGCTTCATATTGTAAACCCAGGAATCTACCTTATAAAATGGTTAGGTGGCTGGTCTATTTGACTCAGTATGATTTACTCTGACTAGCAGCATATGGAACGAGAGACCAGATTGCCAATATCCGCTGGATAATGGAGAAAGGCAGGGAGTTTCAGAAAAACATCTATTTCTGCTTCATTGACTATTCTAAAGCCTTTGACTTTGTGGATCGTAATAAATTGAGGCAAGTTCTTGGTGGGATGGGGATCCCAAGTCACTTTGTCTGTCTCCTAAGGAATCTGTATAACAACCAAGTAGCAATAGTAAGAACGGACCATGGAACAATAGACTGGTTCAAGATTGGAAAAGGCGTATGGCAGGATTGTATACTCTCACCCAACCTATTCAACTTGTATGCAGAACACATCATGCAATGTGCGGGGCTTGATGAATGCAAGGCTGGGGTGAAAATTGCTGGAAGAAACATTAACAACCTCAGATATGCAGATGACACCACTCTGATGGCCGAAAGCGAGGAGGAGCTGAGGAGCCTTCTAATCAAGGTGAAAGAAGAAAGCGCAAAAGCCGGGTTGCAGCTAAACGCCAAAAAAACCAAGATTATGGCAACAAGAATGATTGACAACTGGGAAATAGAGGGAGAAAATGTGGAGGCCGTGACAGACTTTGTATTTCTAGGTGCAAAGATTACTGCAGATGCAGACTGTGGCCAGGAGATCAGAAGACGCTTACTTCTTGGGAGGAGAGCAATGTCCAGTCTCGATAAAATAGTAAAAAGTAGAGACATCACACTGGCAACAAAGATCCGCCTAGTCAAAGCCATGGTATTCCCTGTAGTAACCTACGGATGTGAGAGCTGGACCTTAGGGAAGGCTGAGAGAAGGAAGATAGATGCCTTTGAACTGTGGTGCTGGAGGAAAGTCCTTAGAGTGCCTTGGACTGCAAGAAGATCCAACCAGTCCATCCTCCAGGAAATAAAACCCAACTACTCATTGGAGGGAAAGATACTAGAGACAAAGTTGAAGTACTTTGGCCACATCATGAGGAGACAGCAAAGCCTAGAGAAGACAATTATGCTGGGGAAAGTGGAAGGTAAAAGGAAGAGGGGCCGACCAAGGGCAAGATGGATGGATGGCATCCTTGAAGTGACTGGACTGACCTTGAAGGAGCTGGGGGTGGTGACGGCCGACAGGGAGCTCTGACGTGGGCTGGTCCATGAGATCACGAAGAGTCGGAGACAACTGAATGAATGAACAACAACAACAACAAGCAGCAGATACCAAGAAGTCAATAGATGGCCTCTCCTGGCACACCAACAGATTCTTTTAACTATAAATACCAAAGTTTCAAACTGAGGCACATACAGATCAACCATTCTGAGATTAGGCTTTGAGTCCACTCTATGCACAATTTGCTCAGCAATTGCGAATGAGCACCTTTGAACAATGTCCTTAATTATTAGTAGTGAGAAGACTGCATAGATCCAGAGTCTCATTAATGCAACTGGTTACTCTGTAAAAGCATCCTTGAGTTACATTTGTTGGGAAAGGCTTTAATTTCGTTGAGTGAGCCAGACAAGTTACTGAATCTTATCTGGAGTTCAAGGTCTTTCTTTGTATGCAAGATTGATTAGCACATGACTAGTAGGACTCTAGGTCCTATAAAGCTTCTAATATTGAGATAATTTATTGTGAAAATGTCATGTTTTTGAAGAGCTTAATGCTTCTGCACCATTCAGTAGCTACCTCAACACAATACCTATATTCAAGAAGTAATTATCCTGAAATCTGCCCTATGAGTAGCTGATTTGAATACTCAATGGCAATTCAAATAGCATCATCTCTGAGCATGTTGTTCCACCACAAGTTTCAAATAAGATTATCGGATAAAGCTCTGCTTTCCCATAACCCCATTCTTGATAAGTACATCCTGTTACAATAAACATATGTATGTGTTTATGAGTGTGGTGTGCAAATACGTGCATGCACACACACATACACATATGTACACATGGGCCCACCAAACATCACTTTACTCACAGTGGAGCATTCTCGAACATCATCACAATTTCACATCTGTCCCCATCCCCATAATTCACTGATTCAAACAAATTTTGGAGAGCACCATACTTCTGGTTCTGACTAAATTCTTTTACCGTGCTTCCTTGATTCTAAGATGCACTTTCCCCCATATAAACAACTCTAACAATGGGCTGTCTTAGAATCATGGCTGCTTTTGTAGATATATAAGTAAGGCTCCCCCCCCCCCCCTTTTGTCGGTACTGAAATTAGTGTGCATCTTACAATCCATGACGTCTTAGAATTGATAAAACACTGTATTGGTGTTTTACATTAATATATATTTTAGGATGCCTTTATAGGAAGTAATCTATTAGGAAAATGTTCCTTCTTTCTCTGGAACAGTGGTCCCAACCTGTGGTCCTGAAGAAATAAAATATGGTTAACGGCCTCACCATTACTACACCGTTGCAACTAGAGAGACTGGTCTCACAAAACCCTCTTATAGTGTCAAGGCAATGGGGATGTTGGGAGGGGAGAGGCTGACCAGCCACAAAAGGCACAACAACAAGCCTCCTGACTGCTGCTTCTCCTCCTCCCTCCCTCTGAGCAGAGCCATTCCATGTAGCACTTGGAAGCAGAGGCGCCTTGGTGCCTTTGTTTTTAGGCCTGTTCCTGGGGTTTTTGGGGCAGTGATTCAGAAAACTGCATTGGATAGACCACATCAGCTCTAGATTATGAAATATGGTTTTTTTGTGGTCCAGCAGATGGTAACTACTGGATGCCATATGTGCTGTATCAGAAACTAGAGCTGATATGGACTGTTGATTGCAATTTTCTGAATCAGCACACAAAATAACCAAACTAAATCTAAAGCTGACCAAAAACTGATTTGTAACCCTTTTGGTACTAATGTTGGAGAGTGGTCCCAGGTCAATGTGGTCCCTGGTCAAAAAAGGTTGGGAAGTACTGCTCTAGAAGTACATTCATTTGAACTTTTGAGATGAATGTGGTGACTTCTTTTTCTTGCTATGTAAAAGGCAAATGATATGAAATACTACTGTGTATTTGTTACTAATTCTTAATGCTGGAAAGTAGGTTCTTATCAATGTCAAACTTGCTCAAAATGCATTCATGCCTATTCAGGCCCATCGAGCTGTTAATCTACTTTAGTCTGCTTGAGTGAGCTGTCCAATTCATTCGTCTATCAAACTAACAAATGTAAAGCTATCAAATTTCAACCTGTTTTAATATTCACTGCTCCCCATAATATTGCAGTGTCCCAAAATCACATTGTATTTCATTATCTCTAAAAATAGCATAACCTTTTGCAGTGATACAGTGATAGCCCAAACAATTTGGTATCTGATGAAAAGAGGCAAGGTCTTTTCTCTCAAGTGGAATTGATATTAATAGTGGCAGTAGTGGCATAAAAAGTAAACATAAAGGACAAAAAGGGAATAGAAAATAATAAGTACATCAAGTCAATTAAAAGAAGCAGAAAGGAAATCAATGCAGAGATGAAGGGAAAGCTCTGCTGTCAAGGCAAGATTTTGAAAACTGATGGGAGACAGTCAATGATAAAGAATCCAAGATCACATGACTCCTGTCTCAGAACCGACACAAGGAAAAATAACCCACTTGATGGTAGATTGCTTTTTTTGTACCATCCAGAGAATCTGGAAGTAAGAATGTAATTATCTGTGAAATCTTCCTTGTACGATTTATTATTCATTAAGAGGTATACTGCGTATCTTGACTTTATTTTGAAATACTCAAAGCAGCCATGCTCTTAAAAGCCCTTCTAGTTCCCCTGCATCCAGAGAGCACGAAACTAAGCCGACGACGGATCTGGACCAAACTTTGGCAAGAATAAGTGGCAGTTGCATTGTACAAATCAACTTTGTCAAAGTATCTCAAAGCTGTTATTCAACTAGAAAATGTAACAACTTGCAAAACTTCTTTGAAGATACAGCTACAGAGACAAAAGCCCAATTCAAATATTTTAAATATGTGAATTAAAGAACTTTATGAGAAGGACGAATGCTCAAGTCCTGTCCACTGTCCCCATCTCCACTGCCTTCCACATGTAGAAGATGAGAGCCTGCACTATCTTTAAGTCTCTGTGTTGTCAGGATTTTCCAGTTCCCCGGCTGTGTGGAGAGCCTCCACTTAGGTGATAGGAGCCCCTGGTGGCACAATGGGTTAAACTCCTGTGCCGGCAGAACTGAAGACCGACAGCTCGCAGGTTCGAATCCGGGGAGAGGCAGATGGCCTCCCTCTATCAACTCCAGCTCCTTGTGTGGGGACATGAGAGAAACCTCCCACAAGGATGATAAAAACATCAAATCCTTGCAGACAGCCAATTCTCTTACACCAGAAGCGACTTGCAGTTTCTCAAGTCGCTCCTGACACGACGGAAAAAAAACAAAACAAAAAAAACCCCAAAAAAACAAAACTTAGGTGATGTGCTGCCCTTTTAGAAATGTGCCTCCACATACTTAGGGAGATGGAACCAGGAAGATGCATGGCTGGTTTGCTCTCCCTTCTTGTTTAGGTTTCAAAATTGTCTGAAAAGGGCTCAGTTATTTCCATGCATGAGATAGTGTCAGCATGATGTACTTGTTTGAACATTGGATTACTACTCTGGAGGCCAGGGTTCACCTCCCCCTTTGGCAATGGAAGCCCACTCGAGACCTTGGGCAAGTTAGACTCTTTCAGTCTGAATCTAAGAGGAAGGAAGACAAGGCAACCCCACCCTGCCAAATTTCACCAAGAAAACTCTATTATGGGTTTGCAGGGGTCCTCAAACTTTTTAAGCAGAGAGCTGGTTCACAGTCCCTCAGGCTGTTAGGGGGGTGGACTATTGTTTTTTTTAAAAAAGAATGAAGCCCCATGCACACTGCACATATCTTATTTGTGGTGCAAAAAAAAAAAACACACACACACACACACGAAAGAACCATACAATATTTAAAATGAAAAACAATTTTAACCAACATAAACTTATCAGTATTTCAATGGGAAGTGTAGGCCTGCTTTTGGCTGATGAGATAGTCAAGTTAATGAGGATTGTTGTTGTTGTGCCTTCAAGTTGTTTCAGAGTTAGGGCGACCCTAAGTCTAAAGTTTAGGGCAGGGGGCAGGTAAATGATCTTGGAGGGCGACATCTGGCCCACTGGCCTTAGTTTGGGGACATGAAAATCATTAATGTTTCATATGTACCTTATAGCTTAAAATAATTTTATATAATACTGTTAGTAATTTGTACATGAGACATACAGTATGAGCCTACCTCATAACTTCAGACCCTTAGCAGAGATCCTGTGCCATGCCCCACCATTCTAGGAGATTAGTGTTGAGAGAACACAGGGCAGGGCTTTCTTTGTAGCTGAACGTTGACTATGGAACTCCCTTGAGTCAGGCTGGCTCTGTCCCTTTGACCTCCAGAACTCAGTTAAGGCTCAACTGCTTGATATTGTCTGATACTAATTTAAATTAGGCTGTAGTTTTCACACTTTTTTGTTTCTAAATTGTGTTTTTTATTTCTTGTACATTGCTCCAGGGTCTCCAGCTGCTAAAGAACAAGTCCATAAAGTAAATTGGAAGATCTTCTTAGGACAGATGCCACAACTATGAGAGGAGGTTCAATGGCTTTGGCTACCCCAAGTGGTTCAATCTGAGCTGCGCCATTAGCTGGATCAGGAAGTGAGTTTGATTACAGAGAAGGAATACTCTGTACTCTATCTTAATTGTGTTTAAAAAGTTAGTATTGCCATGAGAGGGCAGTATTCACTTTGCGTAAATAAGGTTGAAAATTTATTTTAAGAAGGGAGTTAGGACAGACAGATTGAAAGAATATGTTGAAATATTAAAAGTTAACCTATATTATATTTCAGGTTGATATCAGTTTGCAATATACTTATACCAATATTGTCTTTGACATTACATTAAAATGGTCTAATTAAGAAAAACAGCAAAACGAAAAGGGATTTTACATTGTCACATTAGAAGGGTAACATATGAACCACAACTGCATATAGAAAACAACTATGCAAATGGAACTCCTTGTATTCATTGTGCAACACTGAGACTCTCAGTCCAAAGGCAAAAGTTGTGAAATAGTAGTATTATAACTTGCAGTCTCCTGCCATGCGTTGCTGTGGCCCAGTCTGTGTATATGTGTTTTTTGTGTATATATTTTTGTCTATGTGTATATATGTGGTTTTACGCATGTGTTGTAATTTTTTTTGGTTTTTTAAGTCTCTTCCACTGTGTTTTCCAGTGTTTTTATGAGTGATAGTCACTCATTGGCCTGATAGGTGTATTGTGTCCAAATTTGGTGTCAATTCGCCCAGTGGTTTTTTAGTTATGTTAATCCCACAAGTGAACATTACATTTTTATTTATATAGATTAAATGGGCAACTAAACATTACACCTGACTTGCATGTTATTTATAGTGAATGCATGTTTGATTTTTAGGAACTTCTGTATATTTAAAATCACTGTTTAATGTTGTTTCTGACTTATGGTGACCCTATCACAGGGATTCCTTGGCAAGATTTTTCAGAGGTGATTGCCTTTACCTTCCTCTGAGCCTAAAAGATTGTGATTTGTCCTAGGTTACTCAGTACGTTTCCATGGCTGAAGAGAAATTCAGATCCTGGTCTCCAGGATTATGGCCCAATGCTCAAACCCCCACCTTTTTTGTTCCCTGAACCCCCTTGTCACTCAGGTGACAATCATGGGCCCTTTCTCGGAACATAGTCGGAGATACTTTTATGACATTCAACACCAGCATGTCTTTAAATTGAAATTTAGGATTATTCAAAATTAGACTGCGTTGTGGGATGAGATGCAGAGCCAATCTTAAGAAATGGGGCAATATCATGTTCCCTTTATAGAACAACTGTCATTTTGCTTATATTAGAGGGGCGGCGGAGGAGCTTCTTTTCCAAAGTTATATGGACCTTGCACAGTAATGTGGTCTTCAAAAGGACAAATCTTGAATTGACTGCATGGGTCTAATTTAGTGACAAAACAGAAAAGGGCAAATGTTCTGAAATAAAAAATCCTGAAAAGTAAACTACTATTCTGATGGGAAACTCTCCTGGATCATAAAAAGAATATTAGAGGTGAAGAAAAATATTGTCACAAATAACGAGACTTTTCTTAGTAGTATTGAGATGTCTAGACATCATTACAGCCAATTGCAACCATAAACACATTTAGGACTTACCCATTGCAAGGATAAAGTTCTCTGATTTTCTTTACATGGAACTATTTGCTATGATCTATTTGTTACTGAAACTCTAGCAGATCAGAAATAAAGTAGCTCTGGCCCACAGTTAAGGCTGATGGCTTTTTTTTTTTTAAAAAAAAGCTACTTGGTTGGAAGCTATACTTTTTAAGTTCTGCTGGAAAGACTCTTTCCAGCAGAACTAAGTAAACAATGTCCCATTGGGCAGGGATGGCGACATAATCTGCCCGTTTAGGAAATAACCTCACACTAGAGTTTCATTGCTGTTGCTTGCAACCAGCAACTGGACTCAAGCCCTACTGAGCAGCACTTTAAAAAAAAATCTAAATACAAGGGTTTCTTGAGGCATTAATACATTTACATCACTGTATTGCCGAAAGCTTTCATGGCTGGAATCACTGGGTTGCTGTAAGTTTTTCAGGCTGTATGGCCATGTTCCATACGTCAGGAGACAATGTTTCTGGAACATGGCCATACAGCCAGAAAAACTTACAGCAACCCCTTTCCATCACATCTTAGATATTATACGGGGGGGGGGGGGGGGGGGGGGGGGGAGATGCTATACTTGGAAGAGAAACTTGTACTGTGCTTTTTCAGCTTGTACAAGTTTTGTTGTTGTGATTATTGCTGTTGTAAAGTGAAAGGAGAGATGAAAGATGATCTGGAGCCAGAATATGATTTTTTAAAAAACAGGATAAAAAGCCCGAAAAGCTCAAATGATCTCGGTTTGACTGGATACTCACTCTGTCACACAGCTCTTCAAATGTGAAGTCTGCAATGGTTCCACACGCTTTATTCACTCTCAGCCCTCTGCCTTGTACTTTTAAAATCCTTGGTCTAGTTACTATGGGAACATGAACAAAGACTCAATCTTGTCTGGATAATTACTATAAAACTCATCTCTTACAGATAGGAAATGCATAGCTTGATGAATAATAGCACATGATTCAACACATAAATTAGACAAAATGCTGATACAATGACTGCCACTTGAGTGTGGCATCAACCCATATACAGCAGTGGAACTTATTAATTGGTCAGTGGAGATTGGGCATTGTGTTCTAAATGTATTCTCTTTCAAGAGAAATTAACTTACGTACAATCATTTTGTTTTTGAGCCAGCTCATCAAACAACTTATCCATGACAGCCTCCACATCAGCCTCACTTGTGCTAGAGTGAAAAGAATAATAGAATATGAAATTAATAATACTTGAAGCCAACATCAAACAGCTGCCTGAGCTTGCTTAGCTTTTTGCCCATAAAAAGAGTGAGAGCTAACAAACAGGATGCTATGTTGTAAATATAAACATCAGGTTTAGAATACACTTAAAAGCAAAGAACATTAAGTCTCAGGTAAATGATTCTGTTTTATTTACATATATTGAAAGACTTCTATGTTTCAAGTTTTTCAATTAATGAGGCAACATGGGCAGAGCAAGGCCATCAACACTGCAGGTATAGATAATAAAGGAGACAAGCTTCTATCTGTATACTTCTGTGAAAAGATAAATAAAGAGGTGAAAGCTCTCAAGCATTTCAAAGGAAATCATCTGGACTTAACTAACTAGAGAGAAAGAGAAAGAGGATGAGAGTCAGAGAAAGAGCACTCGATAAAGATATGCCCTGATAAATTCAGTTGGGTTTATATGCATATAGGCATACTGCATATCATCATTTTAAAATATCTGAGATCTAAAACATTTTTATGACTAATAAGCATTTGCTAGAATGTAGTTAAAGCAGTGGATGTGGCTCTTAATGAGACATCCCACATTATCACAGGATGTCTATGCCCTACACTACTGGAGAAATTATACTGACATCTGCCGGGAAGTAGCAGCCAGTAATGAAAGGTCCAAGGCAGTGACATCTCCAGCCCATCCCCTGTTCAGATATCAGCCAACACGCCAATGCCTTAAAACAAGAAATAGTTTTCTAAGATCTACAGAGATACTCGCAGGAACACCTCAGCAAATGAGAGTCCAAAAGTGGCAGGTGAAAACCCGGAACCTCAAGCCATGGCTGATACCAAATGAGAGACTCCCCCTGGGCACACAGAAGACTGGGTGTCTTGGAAGACACTGAACAGACTGCGCTCTGGCAACACAAGATGCAGAGCCAATCTTAAGAAATGGGGCCACAACATGCGAGTGTGGAGAAGAGCAAACCACAGACACCATTTTACAATGCAGCCAGAGCCCTGCCACATGCACAATGGAAGACCTTCTTATAGCAACACCAGAGGCACTCCAAGTGGCTAGCTACTGGTCAAAGGACATTTAATATAATGCCAAGTTTTTAACTTTGTTTGGGTTTTTAAATACATTACAACTGTACCCTTGATTTATTTTTGATATGATAAATAAATTACCTAGGATCATTGCAATGTCAACAAATAAGTGGTGGTCATGAAAATTATGAAGTCACAAAAACTTTTCTGGGTTGTTGTAAGCCTTCAACAAGCCAAAAACTTTTCTGCTCTAATTAGAAGTCACTGAGATTTATAGTGACTGTTTCTGTGATATCTCCCCAGAGTTTATAATTAAAACATTCTATCTATCTCTCTATCTCTCTATCTCTCTATCTATCTACAAAATATGTATGCAAAATCTGAAGAGGAACAGGAGCAACTAGGAAATTACCAATCCAGATTCCTGCTATTATATAGCCTTGGAACTTTAAAAACAGTTAATTACCTATTAGCAAACTGTTAAAATGATTGATGCCATTGCAACCTTTTTGTAGAAGCAAAACTGGATAACATCTACCATTAGAATTCATGGGTAGCTAGTCAGCATAATCTTTCCATGGACATCATTGCTCATTTTATGAGGAAACAGATGCAGGATCAAGTTTTACAGCAACAATATGAAAGAATAAGGTTTCTTTTTTATGGGACACTTATTTATTTATTTATTTCCTATATTTATACCCTGCCCTTCTCGCACACCTCCTCCCGGGGGGGGGGGGGGGGGGCTCAGGGCAGCCTAAATTTAAAGGGATAAATTGAAAGGAATGTCTTTGGTATGCAAAAAGCAAAATATTTTTTGAGAAATATAGGCAAGAGCTAGTAGAAATAGAAGAAAAGGAGAATGACTCAGGCTACCCTATTTCATCGCATAATAGTCACCATTGCAAAATAGTTGCATCCCTTTTTTTGAGGTCCCAGTTTTGGGATTATTAATTCTTCACATAATAACTACATCCCTAGCCACACACCTGTCCCTTGGAGCAGCCCTCATATCACCGAGGAACAGGTATGCAGGTGGATGAAGGCATGAGAGATAGGTTTCCATCGGCTTTGCCAGCTGATAGAAGTTTCTTAGCTCTGGCCTGCGGACATGAGGGAGGGAGAGCCTTTGCCCATCCTGCATGTCTGCTAGGAAGAACTATGAGCTATGGGGCTTCCCGTGGCTGCTGACAGCCGAAGGAACCCAGTGGCTCTAATCTGCTGGTGCATGTGGGCAAAAAAGGCCGTATTTCTCCACATAATAGTTGCATCCCCCTTTTTTCCCTAAAAAAACGAGGGAAAATACAACTATTATGAGATAAAATACAGTATTTTGGAACATGACTTTGAAGACGAAAGAAAGAAAAGAGCTGAGAAGGAGGAACCTGAAGATGGGGCAATGGCTATGGGTTTAGATAATCTCTTGGCCTGATATTGAATTTGACATGTATCAAGAGACCACTTCACAGAAAAGGAAGGCCAGGTTGCTCACCTGTAGCTGTGTTTCTTTGAGTGGTCCTCTGTGAATACACACATATGTGTTTATTGCACCTGTGCAGGCTCTAATGGAAAGCTTCCCAAACTCTGATTTTCTCATTTTGGAGGTAACCCCGCCCACTCCTTCCCAGGGCATAAGAGGTGCCTTGGCCCCATGCTCCTCAGTTCCTGAGTCACAAGTAGTAGCTAGAAAGAAGCAGGTTTGTATAGTAGAGGGAGGAATGGGTGGGTTTGTGTGAATTTACAGAAAACCTCTCAAAGAAACACAGTTACAGGTGAGCAACCTGGCCTTCTTCTTCGTGGTCTCTATGAATACACACATATGGAGACTAGCAAGCTGAGGTATAGGTAGGTGGGACATATGTCAAACCAACACCAGATAGAGTGTAATCCAAATGTAACATTTATTGGCACATAGTAATAGAAAGTGTGAGGGACTGCAGTGAAAAAATACAACACTTTTCCTGCCAGGTAATGGCAAGTAATTAGAGAAGTACCATACAAAGAGCAATAACGCTTTCTGCAACTGTGGAAGGTACTCTTAGTTAGGATGAGATAGCTAACAACCTAGTGCAACAAGATGCACCATATAGAATGGCGCAGAACAAGAGAAGAACTTTGCATTATTCATGTATAAACATGAAAAAAAACTCACAATAAAGCATCTGCCAAACATACAGAGAAAATCTTGCTGTCTGTCATTGGTACAATCTGGAAGGAGTCCCAACCCCTGGGTGGAGCCTGGTCGGATTTGGTGGTTAGGCCACTCAGGAGGAAAGGACTGATCTGCCAAAGACAGTCCAGTCTGTAATGAGGCACAAAAGTCAAAGGGTTGGCCCAAATTACTGCCCTACAGATGTAGTCCAGGGGGATGCCTCAGAGGAAGGCTGTTGAGGCTGCCATGCCTCTCGTTGAGCAAGGCTGAATGGTGGATGGAGGAGAACAATGAGCCAGCTGATAGCAAAGTGCAATAGCAGAGGCGATCCAGTGGGACAGCTTCTGTGATGAGATATGCAAGGCCTAGCTTGTGTAGTGCATTGGCTATGAACAGTTGTAGGGTCTTCCTTATCGTTTCCTTCATTTGTTTGCTTGGAGTCCTTGTGGACAAAAAATTAAACATGAGCCAACAATGAGATGCTGTAGCTAAAAAAGCCAATGAGATTTTGGCCTGCATAAAAAGGAGTATAGTGTCTTGAACCAGGGAAGTCATGCTACCCCTCTATTCTGCCTTGGTTAGACCACACGTGGAATACTGTGTCCAATACTGGGCACCACAATTGAAGAGAGATATTGACAAGCTGGAATGTGTCCAGAGGAGGGTGACTAAAATGATCAAGTGTCTGGAGAACAAGCCCTATGAGGAACACCTTATAGAGCTGGGCATGTTTAGCCTCCTGGGAACCACAGGCGAAACCAAAACATGGCTGGTGGAAAATTCCAAAACATTTCCCTCTGGGTCCTCTGAAACTCTCCCAGCATCCCCAGCTTCATCTGATGAGAATCTGATGAGGCCACAACAAAAAAGGAGAAATGTTTAGGCATTACTGTGATGACTGAGAATTCTGAACTATTTCAGGATAATTATGTTAAAATGTGGAATGAGATTTTTTTAATAAGACTTGCAGAGATGAGATGAACTTAAGTGATCACTGTTTCAGATGTAAAATGGCTGGTCTACCAAAATGTTATTTTTATTCCAGATAATATTAATTTAAAATAATAATGCAATATTTAAGATACAGGAGAAGGACTTGTCAAATTTTATTCAGCAAGGAAAGAAGCTGAGAGTGAAATATAAGGTCCTTCAAGTAAAGAAGATGACTAGGTTTATTATAGTTGAAATTTTTTTGCATACTGTTGGTTCAGTATAACATCAAAAAACAAAATAATATTGGATTGAGAAGGGAATATAAGAGGTTTGGGGCGGGGGGCAGGAAATCTATGAAAGCCAATGTTGAATGTAAGAACCATTATGTAAGATATGCCATTTCAACAATAAGGAATATAAGAGGATAAATCAAGGTTATGTGATAAAACACGTATTTTTATAAAAATAATCTTTCATTGGTATCATCTGACTCCAAAAATTGACTAAAATTTGTAAAGGGGCTAAAATTGTATGTTAGAAACATAAATACATAATTTAACATTTGTGATGGTCTTGTGACAAAGAAAAAGAAAAAAGAAAAGAAAGAAACACCAACAGTAATTGATACAGAAGAAATTTAAGAGAAAATGCAATTAGAACTTGAACTGGTTTTATTAGTAATGACAGATAATTGGACAGAAAAATACACAATAGACTATCACAACACATGATTGCTGCAGCAAATCTGTTACACATAAGAAATTGGAAGAGAATTTTATAAAAGACTGAAAACTTCTAATTGGCTTTTTTAAAGTAAAAGGTGAAAAATTAGTCACCTGGTTTTGAAAATTAATATGTTTGAATGAGATGTAGAAGTGTTAAGTCATATAAATAATAGGAAAAGTAAGTATTGGGAATATATACCATCAGTAGGAAAATTGGAAGTCAAAGTTATAATTTCCTTACTCTACCTCTTACGTTTTTCTTTCTTTTTTAAATATAGTTTTAGTACTTTGTAGTTAGTTATTATTATTTATTATTTATTATTTACTTTACTTATATACCGCTGTTCTCAGCCCGAAGGCGACTCACAGCGGTTCACAACAAATAAGAACAGCAAAAATTCAATGCTATAGTGTAAAAACAGTTAACCTAACATATTACATAATTAATAAACAATTACTACAATAACCATTCATTATTCAAAAGTTATTTAAAAGTTAGTTGTTGATAAGTGTGTCATGATTGTGTTACATCTTTGTGTTATTCATATTTAATTTTAGTGTAATAGGTAACACTTATTCAATAAAAATATTATTAAAAACTTAAGGTTATTGGCTCTATTGTACCTCAAAAGATTTTGCAATAGGCTATCTTCAACAATACTTATTTTTATGTTGTATCAGACTAATTTGAAACTAATCTTATTTCTAGTTTCAAAGGGGGGTAAAAGCAAATGTATATGGTTAAAAAGAATAGTGTGAAAGGATATTTGTGTATATTTATAGCTTATTTTATGTTTCGGCACTGAATGTTTGCCGTATATATGATTCGCTCCGCTCTGAGTCCCCTTTGGATGATAAGGGAGGAATATAAATGGTTTGAATAAATAAATAATAAGTAAATTCAAACAAATATATGAGTACAACATAAATGATCTTGATCATAGGAAAAAGAAGGGGTATTCTTCAGCTCCAGACCACATTGTTATCCAATTTAAAGAATGACAATGTTAGAACCAAAGATACACCCCCCCCCAAATATAATACAGGCCCTCGTTCTCTAAAGCTGGAGTAGAATCCCCTCTCTAAATAAAGGAAGCCCAAATTTACATTATAAAAGTTAAAAGTACAACTTACTCAAGACACATCAATGCTATAGTACCTTTAATTTCATGTAACAACAAATATAAATTCCATTATAATACAAGACATTAAGTAACATTTGTCCTCAAAGGATAAACTGTTGACATCTGAATAATATTTGAAAAACTGATATTAAAATTCCAAACATTAATTATGATTTTGAATCAATTACATGAAACCACTTTTCTCTTTGTATATTTGGGAAGGGAAACATTATGCATGCACAAAAACTATTAATTAACAAATCTCTCACTCTGAAATGGTATTCATTCTCTGAAGATCCTAAGCAGTCTAAAACATTGAAGCTTCAAATAAAACCTCTTGTTCTAAAATTTCCCAAAGTTACTTTCTGCATGAAATGCATCATTGCCCTGGAATGTGAGCCAAATGGTACACTGTGTGAACAGTTCATTGCAGTTACAGGCTTGTGCTGGGGCTGTTCATTTTGCTAGACAGAAGCCAAGTAATTATTAAAATCTGCAAAAGTATATTAAAGCAATGTCATAATGAAGATACAAGTGAAATCATACTTGTATTGGCTTGATTAAAGCCACTTTCTTTTCTTAGATGTTGGAACAACTTTGCATCATATATACTTGTATTCTCAAATTGCTCTGAGGGTAAACTATCATTACGGAAACAGAAATCAGAGCTATACAGATAAATTGTCCTTATAGCTGTATTATGGTATCATTTTTATCATCTTCAAATACAAATACATGCTGAAGTAAATCAACATCCTAGATACAAGCGGATCATCTGTCAAAATAAGACAAGTTTTTGAATCCACAAATGGTAACACCCAACAATAAATGAGTCCTTGTCAAAGGATTTGTATAAATAATTACTTTACCACAATAAGGATGCTCGTTTATTTACCAGGGAATTGCATAGTCTTTTACAAGAGGATATTCATTGCTTTATAACCATCTGTCACTTCAGTTCTGCAAACACCACACTTCCCCCTCTTCCCAAATCTAATTAGTTTTGATTCAGTCATACATTTTAAAATGAAAATACTGAGAATGTCGTCTGATGGCAGTAGCACTGTAATAAAAATGGAAAGCAGTTGGCTGTCTAACCTAAAGGATGACATATGCCTGTTTCTGCTTGGTCCTGGCAAAACTTGTTGGCTAGTGAGATTAATCATGAAATAAAAATGCTCTGAGCGTCAACTTACAGGTAGTATAGCTTCCCTGCCGCAGGTAGCACCCGTTTCCTGTAGTCTATTCCAGAATCCAGTCGGATAGTATTGCAATATTTCTGAGCAAAAGAACAGTAGCATTACTTCTCTTAAGCAGACACTATGGATATTACAGGTACGCATAACCATTTTGATGACCTATCTGTTTATGTGTGGTCTATCAATGATCACAAGGTAAACACAATATGGATCTGGCAAGTGATTCAGGGTTATGCTTCTAGACAAAAGATGCTGGAAGGATACTATGAAAAACAGTCTTTAGCAAGAAATCAGTACAGTTAGAACAGAATATATATATGTTGGTATTACAAAGTAAGCAAGACAAGAAACAGATGTGCAAGTACAACTTAAAGAGGGCATTTATCAAAATTGGGGGGGGGGGGAGGTTCACTATTCTAAATAACCTCAATTTTGGTAGTCATTCAGATCCAACCAGAACCCCAAATGATTTGAATATTCATGCCCAAAGCGATGCATGTTTGTGAAGCAACACCTGTTGAAATTAATAGTATTTGGGGCCCTACCACACAGCCATATAACCCAGAATATCAAGGCAGAAAATCCCATAATATCTGCTTTGAACTGGGATATCTGAGTCCACACTGCCATATATTCCCGTTCAAAGCAGATAATGTGGGATTTTATTCAGCTAAACATCAGTACAATTATCCAACTTTGCTTTTAAAGGTGATTACCTTTCTTGTACAATACATTCAAACATGGGAATATCATTGAATATTGTAAAAACAGCTGTAGAAGGGGCCTTGCTTTCAAGTCAATAGTCCTTTTTATTTTTAAAAAATCAACTATTAGTCTGAAGTAATGCACCATCTGAAGTAGCAACATAATGTGTTCATATAACCATTAGTAAGAAACTGACTTTTGTTTTCTCCAATTGATCATAAATGCATTTTCACACATACAGAGATAACTGATATTCTCAGTATTGTACTTTTGAGTTCTGCATGAGAGATGCCATTCCTGGCTTGCAATGAGATCACTGTTCTGTGCTGGATAATTTGGCTTTTGTAAGAACAAGATCTCATAATAGCAGATAGTCCTCACATAATAATTTATTCACGAAGTCCCTCCATAATTGCCATCTTGTCCCCTATGACATCAGCGCCCCTCCCCCAACACCAACGGCCACTCTGGGGCCAGAATAAAGAAGGGGAGCCGGGAGGAGGACATTGCCATCTTGTCCCCTGTGACATCAGCGCCCCTCCCCCAACACCAACGGCCACTCTGGGCCAGAATAAAGAAGGGGAGCCGGGAGGACATTGCCATCTTGTCCCCTGTGACATCAGCGCCTCTCCCCCAACACCAACGGCCACTCTGGGGCCAGAATAAAGAAGGGGAGCCGGGAGGACATTGCCATCTTGTCCCCTGTGACATCAGCGCCCCTCCCCCAACACCAACGGCCACTCTGGGGCCAGAATAAAGAAGGGGAGCCGGGAGGACATTGCCATCTTGTCCCCTGTGACATCAGCGCCTCTCCCCCAACACCAACGGCCACTCTGGGGCCAGAATAAAGAAGGGGAGCCGGGAGGACATTGCCATCTTGTCCCCTGTGACATCAGCGCCCCTCCCCCAACACCAACGGCCACTCTAGGGCCAGAATAAAGAAGGGGAGCCGGGAGGACATTGCCATCTTGTCCCCTGTGACATCAGCGCCCCTCCCCCAACACCAACGGCCACTCTGGGGCCAGAATAAAGAAGGGGAGCCGGGAGGACATTGCCATCTTGTCCCCTGTGACATCAGCGCCTCTCCCCCAACACCAACGGCCACTCTGGGGCCAGAATAAAGAAGGGGAGCCGGGAGGACATTGCCATCTTGTCCCCTGTGACATCAGCGCCTCTCCCCCAACACCAACGGCCACTCTGGGGCCAGAATAAAGAAGGGGAGCCGGGAGGACATTGCCATCTTGTCCCCTGTGACATCAGCGCCCCTCCCCCAGCACCAACGGCCACTCTGGGGCCAGAATAAAGAAGGGGAGCCAGGAGGACGTTGCCATCTTGTCCCCTGTGACATCAGCGCCCCTCCCCCAGCACCAACGGCCACTCTGGGGCCAGAATAAAGAAGGGGAGCCAGGAGGACGTTGCCATCTTGTCCCCTGTGACATCAGCGCCCCCCCCCCAACACCAACGGCCACTCTGGGGCCAGAATAAAGAAGGGGAGCCGGGAGGACATTGCCATCTTGTCCCCTGTGACATCAGCGCCCCTCCCCCAACACCAACGGCCACTCTGGGGCCAGAATTGTTTTTATACTATGTCTTGAATTTTGTTGTTCCTATGTTGTAAACCGCTGTGAGTCGCCCCTGGGCTGAGAACAGCGGTATATAAGCAAAGTAAATAAATAAATAAATAAATAAATAAATAATTGGAGCATCTGTATAAAACAAATTATTTGGACATATGATTTTATAAACGAAGGGTTTTTTTTATAATATTTGACACTCTTACACAAGGAAATGTGTTATTTGAAACGGTACTGTGGAATTACACAGGTAATCTAGTAAGGAAAATCTACAGACACCAGCAGAGAAAATATTTCAATCCACTGTACAATGTAAAAAGTAAATACATTCTCGGGATAAAGATAGTATTAAATATCTACCAGTAAGTTCACATATTTCAGGATTGTTGGGATTCTATGCACTCCTAAATGTTTCATGACAAATTTGCCTACCTTCCGTATGTAATATTTTTAAGTTTTAAAGATAAACAGCTTTATGGAAACAAAAAATGAATTAATTTGGTCTGCCTTTCTATAAACTGACTTCTCCATCATAGAACTGATTAAAGCCCACATCCATGATTGCATTCTACACTCACTAATCACCGTAAGAGAAATCTAATCAGCAGCTAAAGAACTTTTAACTGGAGTTGTTATATCTTAGTCCTTAATTTTCAAAGCTAAATCTGAACAGTTGGTTTACATTTAAAGTCTTTATATGTTCACACTTTATCTAGCAGTGTTAAAAGTCTCATATCCTTCTCTCTAAAGCAGCAAAAGCTAGCTGAAAAGTAGAGCCACTGCCAAAGGAATAATGCAATACCTTAACATATAGGCAGTGACTTATTAGCTAATTCAGCCTATTAACCTTAATGTTTAGAATTATTCAACTATTCAAATTATCAATTGATTTATGTATTTATGTATCACAAAGGACAAACACAATTACACTCTAAAATATAATTAAGGAAAAAAGTCAAGACATTCCTCTCTCTCCCAGACATACATGTACAGATAGGCACAGATGTACAGACATAGAAGAAAAATAACTTTAGTTCTGAAAGATTTTGAACTTAGCCCTGAAGAGAAAGAAACAGAAGACACATGGATGGGATAATAACCCTGATACACTTTAAAATACAGGTTGAGTTTCCCTTATCCCTTATCCAAAATGCTTAGGACTAGAAATGTTTTAAATTTTGTATTTTTGGATACCTGTATTTGCATATACATACTTAATGAGTTATTGTGGAGAGAGGGTCTCAATCTAAACACAAAATCCATTTATAGTTCATATACACTTTATAAATATACACTAAAGGTAATGGTATACAATGTGTTTCATAATTGTATGCATGAACCAAACACTGAACCACCATAAAGCAAAATGTGGCAAAAATTGAGACAATTTTGGAAAATTCTGGATTTCCAGATAAGGCATGTTCAACCTATAATATATTTACTGAACAATCCCACTTTGGTGCATATAACTAACATAAATTGACTGCAACACCTGTAGCCAGATATTTCGACTAGCAGGAGTTCTAGGATATTAGTACACAATAATAAGTACAGGCAGAAATAACACATTCCTGCTTTCACCCAAAATGCTCTTCAAGATTTCAGCATAAAACTTTGGCCAGCATATTGTCTCTGCACCAGAAGCCTGTGATGCTCCAAGTCCGCCAGACCTTAAATTAAGAAGCATCCAGCAACTCAATCCTCCTCAGGTCATAGTGGATAATAATGCTCCATCCAAGTTCTTGTGAATATACAGACTGCCGGATGTTTCACAGAAGCATAGTTGGAAGACACCTTCTGGGTCATCCAATCCAACCCCCTGACAAGAAGCAAGAAAATCACATTCAAAGCATCCCTGACAGATGGCCATCCAGCCTCTGTTTAAAAGCCTCCAAAGAAGGAGCCTCCACCAGAGAGAGTTCCACTGCTGAACAGCTCTCACAGTCAGGAAGTTCTTCCTAATGTTCAGATGGATTCTTCTTTCCTGTAGTTTGAAGTCATTGTTCTGCATCCTAGTCTCCGTGGCAGCAGAAAACTTGCTCCCTCCTCCCCATGACTTCCCCTCACAGATTTATACATGGTCATCATGTCTCCTCTCAGCCTTCTCTTCTGCAGGCTAAACATGCCCAGCTCTTTAAGCCGTTCCAGTATAAACTGAGAATTAACCAGAGAAGACCTGTTACAATATGATTTCTGACATGATCCACCTGTTGGATAACTTGCAAAGTGTGGAGAGAATTCAGATAAGGTTTTCCCATCATTTCAAATGACCTTAAAGCTTAAATTCATGCAGATGTAGTAGAAAACCTGGTCTACATTATATTGGATTTTTGAGTGCAATAGTTGAGAGACCAGGCTTTACAACAAATTAAGAAAAATCAGGAACTCTTTCTGTTGAGTTTTGGCCTTGCATGAAAAAAATCAGAAAACAGTAATATTTGTCAAAGTTTCATTAATGGGTAAACAAGAATCCAGTGGTCTCAAAAAATAATCAATTACAGTCAACCAAATTTTTAATTTGGAAGACAATAATAATTCTGGAAGACTGCGCCCTACGTAGGCTAAGTAAAATAGGATATTAGATCTGGCATACTGAATGTGTGCATCTCTCTCTCTCTCTCTCTCTCAGTATCCTCTCCTTATGGGACCCAAGGTGACTTATAACAAGTTGAAAGAAAGATGTAACATTATAAGCAACTAGTCCTTTGAAGCAGTAAGTACTATCTTTGGGTGATGATACCTACTCTAGCAATGACTAAGGGCTGCTCCTCATGGTCATACCATGACCATGAGGTCTACAATTTGGACTAGCCAGCCTCTCCCAATTAGCAAAGAACATTTGGGAGTGTCTGGCTGTTACAAATCCAAACTATTGCTGTTCTGCTGTTGTTCTCTCCTGCCACTTTGGGCATGGCTCACTGTGGGACAGCAGAATATAATTCAATTGAGAAGGAACGTTATTACCCAAGTCACTCTACTCTTTCTTGCCATGCCATCTTCATTATGATTCCTAAATTCTGTGGTTTCTCCCACTTGTAGCAGGTTGGGATGGATTCTGCCAAAAAACAAAACAAAAAAAAACCAAAAAACAAAACCCCTCCATGAGACAGAACAGCTTTGTTCAGCATCAGAAAGCTTTTAATCCACTGGAACCTTTGCCCTGATTTAATGAAGGAGGAATAATCTTCAGTAATTCCTCCCTCCTCATGCAGTCCCTTACAAACCATGAAAGTCTCCTCCAGGTGGTTAGGAATACCTATAGAGCATTGGAGAGGTGGCACATGGGATTGCAGAGAGGGAGCGTCCTCAAGCAGCATTTTGAATGAAAACCTGTAAAAGATGCTCTATAGATGGCATACAACTTCTAATCCAAACCATTTTTTTATTTCTCTTCCAGATCCAATTAAATTGTGCCCTGATTTAATTTGGTTTTGGTCCCAAATACTTTGCCTGCCTCCATTGTACTTAGTTTGTTAATTTACCTCCCTGCTTCATACTCTGAGAATGCCTCTTATTTCTTCTATCTGGGTAGTAGTCTGTCTTTGAAACCCAAGCTATAAATCTCAGGTCGATAGAAAATTTTGTGCCAGGTTAGTGCACAGTCTGAATTGCAGCTTAAAAACCTCTTGCACTCTTAATAAAGAAATTGAAATGTCTGGTTTATTGGATAACTAAAATCACAGAAAAGCGTTTAGGCTTTTCACTCTGCATACGAAAAAATAGGAGACTTCACACTATATTATATTGTTTCCTCTTTATGGAATTGACTTTTTGCAGATGGTGATGGATATAAGGGAAGGATGATGGGGTAGTGACTGCTCAAAACAAAGACTATGTAACAAATAGAACAACAACACAGAATAAATAGAAATAGTCTAACATTTTTGCAAAATAAAAAAAAACTTGGTCAAACTATTGTTCAGTATCTACTTAGTCTTTGTCTTCATGTTCAGATGTTGTTCAAACAGCAGACTTAAAAGAAAATAATGTCAATGAATCCTCCCAAGCACTATGCATGACCTCTGGGGTAATTAGCAATCATTGAAAAGCAACAAGACTAAAATGTTCTATTCTTTATTACTGTCAGCTCTTCTCTTGATCAGCATTTTAATAAAGATGGTTCGTTCCTAAGACAGTTCTATGAATCAGTCATAATTACATCCTGACATGCAGTGAATAGTAAAGCAATACTAAATATCACTTCATCAACCTTTCTAACCTTTATGCAAGTATTAACAGTAAATAATTTTTACACAATCCAACAACAGAAAATCTGCATATATCTTAGCTTTGTAGAGACTCTACCCTAAGTGAATTTCCTGTGACCTACACCAGCAAAACACAATTGGGCATAATTATTCAGGCTCCTGAGATATTCAGGTGTTGCTTTTCTTGGGAGTTTACAACTTCAAGTACAAAAGGCTACTTGTTTTGCATAATAAACCCTCAAAGGGTTAAATGAATCACTAATTTCCTATTCCCAACCTGCAGAGATCTACAGCATGGCAGACTGATGGTGAAACATTGAGAGTGACATGCCTTTGTATCAAAAGTTAAAAGTCTAGATTTTCAAGAATCAAATTTTAAATCTCAAACAATAAATACACGCTAACAACTCAAGCTGTTGGATCTGACCCTAGAGCTGGAGAAAACAAAATGCAGTAGCTCTTCCCCATAATCACTTTTGAATTAATCATTACTGCATTTCTCAGTATTTCTAAAGATTCCCAAACTTTTTAAACTATTGATTTATTGCTTGTGTTAATTAATACACTACGAATGCATATTAAAAACCCATCTCTTTTCTAGAACATTATCACTGCGAAGAACATTAGCTGGAATAACATTTAGTTTTCAGCTTCAAGAAAAATGCTATTCCAGTAGCTGAATACTTGTTTCTACATAGTCTATAATAGTAGCGATAGATTTTAGTAGCTCCTAATGTAAAGTTTTGTTAATGAAAAGTATCTGTTTAAAACAAGTAGATGAGCCCTTCTTTTCCCCAAATCTCTTCAAATATTTCCCATCCCATGTACAAGTTACAGGTAAAGCAACATCCTGTATTTGCTGAAATGCTCTGTGATATCCCTGAAAACAAATGTATATATTTAAAAAAAAATCCACACACCTGATGTTGTAATAATTAAGCAATGCAAGACTTTTGCCAAGACAGAGGTGACTACATGTTCCACTATATTAAATATCCCAAATACACTAAATCATTTAGAAGGTGGGTTCCATATAGAATGAAGTCTTCTCACGGTATCATTTCTTTGACATCTGAATTGTATAAGTTTCCTCAATATTAGCTGTTGGCTTTTGCCAAAGCTCCATACTGGGGCTTTGGCAAAGTGGGGGAAAGGGTTGGTTCAAGAAACCAGATTCCCAGAATAATCATAGTTTAAAAACGTGATTAAGCAAAAGCTCAGGATGGCTTCTGCCTAACTCTGACGAGGTCCATCCACTCCCTCATTACCAACCACTGAAAACTTCTGCTGCATTTTGTTTCAAGAGAATCCAAAAGTCCTTGCTGTAAAGCAGACGGGGGGGGGGGGGGGGGGGGGGGGGGGGGGCAGAGTCCATTCAGTCTTTCTGTATCACAACCATTATGAAAGAAGTATAAAACACTGCCTTTATGCTGCCAAGCCACAATGACTCCTCTCACATCAAAGCAGTTTCGCCACTTGGGCTTTTTTCTCCCAAATTTATTCAAGCCGAGGGCAGGGAGACAACAATTCATACACGCTAATTACACCTAATTATCTATTCCTCCCCCCACCCCAACTTTCGGCCAGCATTACTCGCTATTTGGGTTTCTCACAACCTCCTCTTGCCCTGTCCATCCCGCTCCACAGTAAGTCTTTGAAGAAAACAGTTGTGGCTTTTTAGAATATTCACAATGTAAGGTTCAACTCAAATTAAACTTTTCCCATTATCAGTTTTGACACGTCTTATTTGTTAAATATGAAGGTCTTTTGCTTAATTTGGCAAATTCCTAACATCTCTGCCTGGAGAGAATTGCTGGTAACACCCTCTCCTACCAGAGCTTCTCCTCACGCTTTCTTTTCATGATCTAAATGAAATGTTTATTGGATTAAAGTTCTTCTCCGCAGACCTTCATGGTGGCCTGTGACAAAGCACTTACAAGCTGTATTAATTGGCTTGGACTTTTGGATTGGGGGGATGGAGGAAGTCAGGGAAAGGCCTTATTTCGTGTTATATATCACATGCAAAGAACTCGGCCATGCTAATTAAATGAACCCCGTTTTAAGAAGAATACAATGTTATATCTCTGTCACAGAGTTAAATTGATTTATTTATTATTTACGGTATTTCTATCCCACCTTTCTCAGCCCTAAGGCGACTCAAGGCGAGTTACAGATTGGCAACAATTCGATGCCACACATTCATAAAAATACAATTAAAACATTCAGCATAATATCCACTTCTTAAAATGAAAGAAGCAATTTAACAGAAGAAGATTGTAACAACAACAACAACAACTTTATTTTTGTCTCCCGCCTTCATCTCCCTGAAGGGACTCGGGGCGGCTTACATGGGGACCAACTCGATCAACATAGTTAAAATATAACACACAGAAGTACATAAAACATCATCATAAAACAAACAACAACATAACATAGTATAAAACAACCATCGAGCAAATAACCAATAGCCTGAGTAATAAACAGTTTCTGGGCTATCATTACAATCAAACTGGAAGGGAATGTAAGAGCTATCTACAATTATTTTACTATCAGGTTTGTTTTTTTAAAATGAAGGATTGTTAAGCAATGTTTTCAAAATAAAATATGCAGTCTCAATCGCCTTGTTATTTGAAAAGGATATGAAATAACCAAATGTTGTTAAAATCCTTCTCTGGTTTTAGAACATCTGAATGTTTCATTTCAAATGACAAAATACTTACATACCTTTAGTGTACGATTGACTCATATATTTGTAGAAACTTGAGAAGATTTAAGTAGTAAGACTTATAATTTGGAGAATCAAAGGTAGAGGTTTCTAATTTCAAATGCTTGCTTGAGACTCAAGTCACATTAACACATCCATAAAGTACAATATGAACTCTGTCTTAGCATTATATTACTGAATGTACGTTTGCACATGTATACAGGCCCCCTCGTCCTTTTTCTAATGCTAAACACAGTTATTCATGATCAAACTGTATTGTAAATCCCCAAAGTAATCCATTTAATTAATACAGGGGGAAAAGAGAAAGGGAGAGCCTACAACTTGCACAGCTTTGGAAAGAAAGAGTCTTCTATTTAGGACTTGCTTGGGTACTTACTAAGAAGGGAAACAAAAGACCTAACATCTTCAGTAATGAAAAAGTCAATTGATAAGTGAAGACATCACAATATCAAAGACTTAATCCCAGCATTTCTGACTCAGGTGACAGCTCAGCGGAGGTCAGGGTGCTGACACTGACCACAAAAGCAAGTTTTCCACTATTCAGTGTACTGAAAGCTACTAGGCTATCGCAGCATTAGAATGGAACTAACTGACAAATCAATTTAATCACCAAGATGACTTTTTTCCCAAAGAAATTGTCAACTGACAAATCTGTGGGCTCCTAACACAGGTGGCCTGACAAAAGCAGAACACATAATCAAAGGCAATTTATATCTCCAAAGTGGTGCAAAAATGTGCACATCTCTTCAACTGCTTTGAATTCACTTGGTTGTGGGCATTTGGACCTCTTGCTCCAACTCAGCAGTGGAAGGCAGCTGATTATTCTGAAAAATGGCAATGCATTTGTGCCTAAAGCAAATGGGTATTAAGGAGGCAAAAGATAATAAAGCAATTGTAAACAGCTTAACAATACAATCCCATACACGTTTACTTAAAAGTGAGTTCCATCAAAGTTAAACTTTTTATTCACACAGAAATGTGCAGCCATATATCTGCAGCCATAAATGTTAAAAAGTGCCATAAGAACCTCAGCAACTGACACAATCGTTCATATGAAATTAGATTATTGGGTCTGTATAGGAGCATGAAATAAACCAAAAGCACTTTGAAGGATCAGAGTAGGCTGCTTTGGACCCCACACATTGAAGTAGGAAACCTGAAATGCAAACTCAGGCTTAGCCCAGAGAAAGTTAAACAGAGAATGTTTACTTTTCGCTAAAATAATTCAGTTGTGTACATATGTCTCTATTGATTTATATGGCATTAGTGATTAAATGTCTATGAAACAGACATTTACACCGTCTTCATGGATTTAGAACTGCCATAGTGAATGTATTTGCTTTTGATTTCTTTCTACCAAAGGAAGGCTGACTACATCGTTGTAATACTTCACCTCTTTATACAAGACCAATTTCATATGAGTAACATCCAACAGAACACTTTTTACAACCAATTTTAAGGGAACATTTAAATATATTGAAGAACAGATTGAGCTCAAGATATATTTGCTGTGTGCATTGACCACAAACAACTTTAGCTATTTATCTTATTTCAAATATAAGCTAATGATTCCCATCTCACTGAAGCAGATACAGAAAGAGTATGTGTATATTCTGGAATATCAGAGATGAAAAGAAAACCTTTCCCATATTTTGCTCAATTAAAATGTTGGTAAATGATAAAACATCAGATTTCTGTAAAGAAGAGTTTTTCAGACTCTCTGATGGGATTAAGTGGTAATTTTTTTATCTACTGTGACACAACTGTCTCTTTCCTGGAAATTTGCCATGGACAAACAGTTGATGGTTTGTGGATTGACACTAGTGCATGGACAAGTACTATAAAAGACACAAACTGTCATAAAATTAGAATCAAATGCAGATGCTATTATTTACCCTATTTTATCCCGTTTTTACTTCTGATGCCAAGAAGGAGGGGGCTGACCTGAGGGAGTTCCATAGCCGAGGGGCCACCACTGAGAAGGCCCTGTCTCTCATCCCCACCAGTTGCGCCTGCAAAGCAGGTGGGACCAAGAGCAGGGCCTCCCCAGACGATCTTAATCTCCAAGGTGGTCATAGGGGGAGATACATTCGGACAGGTAAGTTGGGCCGCAGCCGTTTATGGCTTTATAGGCTAAAGCCAGCACTAAAGCCAGATGCTATGTAATGTTAATTAATTTCCAGGGGCTGGAAATTATCAACAGTGGAATCTGTTGATTTGCCAAGTTTGCAACTATAGGTAGGTTTAGTCCCAGATGAGCTTATACTGGGATCCTATGCAAGTTCCATTGAAACAAACTGAAGAATCTCCAGCAGAATCTGTTGGACTTCATATCCTCTCACTATTTCTTGTGAGCTTTCAAAGCATAAGTCGCCATAAAAGTTGGCAATCTACATCCATTCTTCATATCAGTCAATCCTTCATGTAAGGTTAAGATCCAACTATGAATAATAATTTGTTGAAGTCTTTCTTAGGAGTTGTAGGTAGACACTGAGGTTTTATCAAATTTATTGACACAAAATTAACTTCATTATGTTTAAATCTTAATTTGAATTTCTGGTACACATAATTTCTGGTACACATAAACAGACATGGTGGCAAGAATCTCATGGCTGTTTGTATGGTATTTGAGTATTTCTTCTGGGCTCCATTTATTTATTTATTTACAGTATTTATATTCCGCCCTTCTCACCCCGAAGGGGACTCTGGGCGGATCACAGAACACATATACGGCAAACATTCAATGTTGTTAAACACTGACAGAACAGACATAGTACATAGATACAGGAATATAGGCTTTTCCCATTTTTGGCATCTTGGAAGTTGTGCTCAATTCTGGCCGGGAAGGGGCTGTCGCTCCATCCACCATGCCAAAGAACCCTGTTCATAGACTTCCTCCTTTGACCAAATCACCAGCATTTCCTTATGGTGCCACTAAAATGCCTCCCCGCTTAGACGGTCGGTACCTATTTATCTACTAACAGATTTTTGATCTGCTAGGTTGGCAGTGAGCTGGGCTGAAGGTCGGGCGCTCACCCCTGACCCAGGCTTCAAACTGCCAAACTTTTGATTGGCAAGATTTATTGTAGCTGGTGGTGAACCTGATGTGCTAAAGTCCACCCTAGCTTTAGAACAGCAGGTTAACCTCACTGTCCTCAGGAAGATGAAATATGCAATCAGGTAACAAAAATGAAAACTTATTTCTATCTGATATGTTACCCCTTATTCCATCAAAAAATGTAAGAATTCTAAATTAATAAATACTGCTAACCCCCCCCCCCCAAATATTAATCTCCGCTTCACCTAGCCAATAAATTAATGCATGTAACATTTATAAAAGTTTAAGAGAAACAATTTTTTTTTTTTTGCAATGAAGAACAAAGCTTTTAAGAAACATGTCTTCCCTTACCTTCAACACATCAATGAATGGAACAAAATTAACTCTCTGGAGTCCATTTTTATAGAGGTCTGAAAGAAAACACAACAGTATTACCTTTGCCAAGCTCTTTCACCAAGTATGATGCCAAGGCCACAGGGCTTTTTTTAAGATTGGCATAGAATTTGCGCGCTTCATCCTTCTGTTATGAGGAAGATTTTTGGTGAGGGCTTTTTAAATGTTAATGTTCAAACCAATCAAAAGAACAACATATGTGTACAATAATTTACATTGGCGTTAAGGGCCAGAGTTAAAGCTAAAGGAAGAGTAGATGTTAGCATGACAATATGTATTGTAGTAAAACTTTGTTAATTTTTACCATTCATATCAAGGCCTTGAGATTAGGCAGCCTAAACACAAAAATAAAAAAATAATATTAGTGGAGGCCAAGTATATGAATGCTTTGTTAATAACATATTTTGTATTTCTCTGCCCTTCTCCTTGTGGGTGCCACTCTCTGTTGTATTTAGGTTTTTTCTCTAATTTAGGAGACAAAAGACGAACATTTTCACAGCAGTGGGAACTACCTCCTTAAATACATTATTACTGTGTAATAATTATGATGGGTAGCTTCTCTTCATTAGAGCTATTCACTATTTCCCTATGAGATGCCATCACTTGCTACCAATGTGGGCTGGCTGGCGAATACACTTCTATTAAATACGTCCACTAAAACTCCATGCTGTCAGATTTCTACTGGAGGAGATAGGGAGATGGAAACAAGGGTTTTGAAACCTGAAAGCTAGAATAATTTTAAGAATTTTCAGAATTGAGCACCAATGCAAATTCAATTGCACACTGCAAGCAGTATTGTATACTACTTTCAATATATGTTAGTAAATCTACCAATACATTGCTTCTAAAAACTGTCAAGTAAAAAAAGGTAAGATCTTTTTAACAGTCAAATGGCTACTAGTCCGCTGTTATCAACTTGATTCTTTTCAGATGAAGCTGACATTACAGAACAACACCAATTCTGTTTTCCCACATTCTACTGAAATAGTAAGTGTGCCCCTTAGTTAGAGCCACCTGGAAGGATTTTAAGTTATCTTTAGTCAAAGAGACATTTTATTCTCAAATTTATAGTGATCATTTCCAACACAGAAGCTGGAACTGCTTTACCATGCTTGGAAGATCTGTATTATGGATTCCCAGAGTAATCTATTACTGGATACTGCTGCCCTATAAAGCTGGTGGGATCCAAATTCAACATCCAGCAGCACTACATAAAACTCATCTGAACATAAAACAGCTGAATAAAATCCCACATATTCTGCTTTGAACTGGAATATATTGAATATATCTTTAATGAGGGAATGGGGTACAAAGCGGCAATAGAAGCAATGAAATTTTAGAGTTGTGAAACAACATGACCTCACAACCTCTGAAGATGCCTGTAAAAGATGCAGGAGAAATGTCAGGAGAGAATGCTTCTAGAACATGGTCATACAGCCTGAAAAACCTACAACAACCCAATGATTCTGGCCATGAAAGCCTTCGACAATACAACATGAGTTGGTTGGTCCTGGTGAAGGGGGCACAATACAAGGGTAAAAGGAAGAGGGGGGAAAAGGTATAATAATAATAATAATAATAATAATAATAATAATAATAATAATGAAATAAAACACGTACAAGTAGATAAAAAGGTGTGTAGTAGAGGTATATGTAGTATAAGTTGTATGGAAAGTTTAAAACATTATTATTATTATTATTATTATTATTTTGTCGTGTCAGGAGCGACTTGAGAAACTGCAAGTCGCTTCTGGTGTGAGAGAATTTGCCGTCTGCAAGGACATTGCCCAGGGGACTCCTGGATGATTTGATGTTTTTATCATCCTTGTGGAAGGCTTCTCTCATGTCCCCGCATGAGGAGCTGGAGCTGATAGAGGGAGCTCATCCACCTCTACCCAGATTCAAACCTGCAACTTGTCAGTCTTCAGTCCTGCCGGCACAGGGGTTTAACCCACTGCGCCACCGGGGGCTCCAAAACATAAGAAATGTGTTTAAAGATGTTTAAGATTTATTTTCTTTTACTGTTGGATTGTATATAATATGGCATACTCCCTTATCTAAGATATTGTAAAAAGAGGAAAGAATGTATACTTATACATTTTGATTGATAAATCTATAAATATTTTTTAAAAAATGAACTGGAATATATGGCAAAGAGTGAACTTAGATAACCCAGTTCAAAGCAGATATATTTGGGTTTTCCGTCTTGATATTCTGGGTTATGTGGCTGTGTGGAAGGACCCTGAAACATGGAAAGTTGCTTTCTGGAGACTTATTTGGGAAAAAGAAATCCTGTAGTAAATTCTGAACTGGATTTTTATATCAAAAATGAGGATAAAGTTCAGAATTAAAAGTGGCAAAGATTTTGGGAAAACCTTTAATTTCAAATTTATACACTCATATTTTGGAGCTGAGATGAAACAAAAATGCTAGCTACAAGTTGTAAAGAAAGCAGAGGGCACCAAGTCCAGCTGCAAGCATAGTGCTACAGAAGAGTAAAATGAATTAACTGCTCTTTCAAATTTTAATATGTGAAAAGGGGGTTAAATATTTGGCAATTACAGTCATGAAAAACAGCAGTCTACTATAACTATGAAAGAATTGGAAATAAATTAAAAGAGACTTAGAAAAATTGGGAAAGTTGTCCCTTTTGAATAGAATTGCAGTAATTAAAGCCAATGTTTTGCAACTGCTTTTATTTCTCTTTCAAATGATCCTTATTATAAGAAAATGGAATATGTTTTGTGTAATGTCAGAAAGAGATTTCCAGATTTGTCTGGCAGACAAAGAAAGCCTTAATAAAACTTAAGTTATTTTGTATGGGTGAAGGAATAGATATGGTTTAAATATGAGGAACTTTGGATCTTGAAGGTCATGATTTAAAATTTGAGTGACATGGTTATTTTCTGAATGACAGACATAAGGCAAATACAATTAAAAACTCGTTGTATTAGAAGGGTTCTTCTACAAATTTGGTATAAATACCTGCAAAATATAATTCTAGCCAAATCACAGGAAGCCTTTCTCTGAAAATAGGTTATAAATAGGATATGGTTGCTCTATGATGATTTTTTTGGTACATTTGGTAATACCATTCATATAGAAGCATGGTAAAATGGGACCTAAAGATACAACTTTTACTGTCTGTAGTAATTTAAAACATACTTTCCTGTAGCAGTTTTAAAAACTGTATTATATACTGAATAGGTGATACTTAAATCAAAATAAGCTGTCAAAAATGTCCCAGAATGTTTCACATCAATGTTGAAGTTTTTAGTTGAGTTTTTAGGGGGTTTTCTTCATATGTAGTGGACATGTAAGTGGGCAAAAAGTTATTAATGTAAGAGTTATATGTTAATTAGAATAATGAAAGGTAGAGTTTGCAATGTCACAAGGAATGTTTTTGCTGTGACCTAAAATTAAAAAAAAATGAACAGTAAATATCGTCTACTTCTTTGATACATGGCAACAATAGCAAGAATATTGTTTGTTCAAATCTGGAAATGGATTGAAGCATCAACAATGGAAGAATCGATTAAGGTGGTTTACTCTCAACATTGTCCTACTGGTCAAATTAACGTGGATTCTAAAGGAGAAGTCAACTGAAGACTTTGTGAAGTATTGGAATTTTGATCAATAATAAATCTACCAATGTAATAGCATGTAGTTGTGGTTATTAGTAACTAGTATGATTATTTAGCCAAATCTGTAATGGTAGAATCGTATTTTCCTTTGTGTTTTTTCCCTTCCAATTGCAGTTAGGATTGGAGGGAAGGTATCAGAGCCCAACTGTTTTCTTTTCTATTTTGTCTTCTTTCTGTTTCACTTACTCTACTTTATGAATATCTATTATTTTGACTGTGAACCGGATTAACAACTAATCAATCAATAATGCCAAAATTTACTATGCTTTGATAAATATTCTTCTGTAGTCGCTTCTGGTCGCTTCTGGAGTGAGAGAATCAGCTGTTTACAAATACGTTCAATGGCTGATACCAAATGAGAGACTCGCCCCTGGGCACACAGAAAATTGGAAGGCGCTGAACAGACTGCGCTCTGGCACCACGAGATGCAGAGCCAACCTTAAGAAATGAGGCTACAAAGTGGAATCCACGACATGTGAGTGCGGAGAAGAGCAAACCACAGACCACCTGCTGCAATGCAACCTGAGCCCTGCCACATGCACCATGGAGGACCTTCTTGCAGCAACACCAGAGGCACTCCAAGTGACCAACTACTGGTCAAAGGACATTTAATCAACTGCCAAGCTTGCAAACTTTGTGTTCTGTTTGTTTGTTTGTTAAAAAATGCAATGCAACTATTTGGTCTGCTCCTGACACGATAAATAAATGTAGTTCCTTGGAAAACTGCTCTTTTGAAATTTCAAGATGAAGCATGCTAACAAGACCAATCTTCTATCTGATCTTGTGTTTCTACTCTGGGTGTGACTTCTACTGTGAATTATTTTTTCTAATCTTGAATAAGTACTCTAAGGAAACACCTGAATTTCAGCTTAGCTCTTGTCTGGTTCTTGGACCCTTCATTAGTAGCTTGGCATTTTTTAATCCCTTCTCAATGCCACTCCATAGTGGTTACAGAATTAAAATCTAACAAGATTGATGTGACCCCGCAAAAGTCACAACATAGTAGGTCATGCACCAATCTAAATAGTCTTTGTGGTTCTTTACACGTCTACGATTCTACGACATATTTGCATAATCTGGCGGCAATATATTGAAACTAAACAAGCTAAAAAGTAAAAATGAAAATAATGTGGATTATCTGTCCAGGAAGGTGAATTTCCCAAGACCAGCAGCTTGCTGGATTCTTGTTAAGCTGCTGGAATTTCTTTCTCAGCAATTTCAAACAATGATCTGTTAAGTGAAACATATGACCTTCCTTCCAGGCATTTTTAAATAGTATAAAGGAATTAAGTGGTTGTGACAATCGGCTTGTGAATAGGACACAATTGGCACCTACTGAATCATAAATTCTCTTCCCCCACCATCATTTCAAGTCTACATTCCCACCATCACTATCCCATAAGGTGAAGCTAAAGCTTAATAAGAATCATTTTTGCAGATTATGGGATGAGGTGTTCCTAAACGTATTTTGTTGCACATTATGGAAACTGTTGTTTTACACAAGAAAATATGGGAAATCTTGAATCTAATCTACAGTAACATAGCAAAGGCCTTACTACAGTGATTACCTGGAATTAGCAACTGAAGTATTAGTGAGAGTACATTTATATGTGTGTAAGTAAATTCCCCCTTTGGTCATCCCTCCACCAATCAGCTTCAAAGTGTTGAAGGGTCTTCCAGAGCAGACAATGGGGGCAAAAGAAGATTGGGGGATAGAAAGGGTAATCCTGCTGCAAGAGCAGAAATCTTCTTGTGCAATGTTGGATGCCACCCTGGGAAATCTCTATGATATAAAGAGAAACTATACTGCAGAAAATAGATTGAGCAAATGCACACTTATTTCACTGTAATTCAATATTAACACAAACTAAATGCATATGTGCATTTTGATTGTGTTTGTATACATAAGTATAAGGTGTCATCCCCTGTCCCATCCCTACGGTTTGGTTCTCTACATAACTGCTTTTAAGAAACAATTAAATAGAAATTAATTCCAAGTATCTATGCTTTTATTGAACAACAAATATATGAATTGTAGTATTTCTCTTTTCACTTTATTGTTTGTACATTATTTTAAAAGTTTCAGAGTTTACTGAAAACATTTAAGATTTTAATTTTAATTACAGGAGCATGAAGCAATTCTCCTCATCTAACACCTTATTATTATTATTATTATTATTATTATTAAACTTTATTTGTACCCCGCTAGCATCTCCTGAAGGATTTGATGCGGCTTACACAGGCTGAGGCCTCAGCACACAACATAACAATACAACCTAAGCAAATCAAACAGTTAAAACAGAATAAAGCAAAATGAACAACAGGCACAATACACTAAAAAACAATAAAACTGGGCCGGGCCAGAGCAATGGGTACAAGAATTAAAAGTGCTGATAAGACAGGAGGTGTATATAAGGCTTCTAGGGCAAGTGCGATGTGCAGCAATCATTGGTTCTGGTAAAGTGACCCATTGGTTCTGGTAAAGTGATTTGCTATTACATATTTTGTGACAGCCATTCTGCCACCTGAAGTCCGTGCCTTGCGGGACTTATCAGCTTTCCGCAGGGCATGTAAGACATATCTGTTTCGACAGGCCTTTGATATTTGATATTGATGTTTTTAAATTGTTTTAATTTGTTTTAAAATTGTTGTTTGATTTTAGCCTGTTCTTGTAATTTGCTCCGAGACCCAGGGGAGTGGCGGCATATACGTTCGAATAATAAATAAAAATAAATAAATAAAATAAAGCAAAAGACAATACCAACATTTTTACCTTCTGGCGGCCTGTTGGATGTTGCCACAACAACAACACCATTTTGGAACAGGTTTTCAAAAAGCTGCTTGAGAATCATGGCATCAGCGATATCTGTCACCTGTATAAGACAACACTGCCATTAACAGATCTACAACTGACTTTGTCAGTTAAATGGTGGAAGATTCTAAATTGCTCCTTGCAAGAGAAAAGAGGAGGATAATTAACAAGGGGAAGAGTGTGTGCCAATCCTTTCAAACATGTCAGTCCTTTACTACAGTGCCCCACTGCTGTTTAACAAATTTCTAAACAATTCTGTGTTAACTTCCATTCTGAAACTACAGGTGGAAAACACAGAAAAACAGACAGTTTTAGAGGCTTAATTAATTTGAACATCCACAAAACTTTCCCTCCCCAATGGAGATCAAGAAAGAAATGTACACCAGCTGCTTTACATTTCTATTACCTTTCAGCAAAGGTTCACAGAGGTGACTTTAAATGGTCATGGAACTTTTAGGAAAAAAGGACAAGTAGCCAAGTATACATAATCAGCTGCTGTTGAAAATAGAATGATATGACATAGATACTATTGTGCGATTGTTGCACAAAACAATTCAACAGATGGCCCATCACAAAAAATAAGCAATTTCATTGTTCTTTTTAAGTGCCTTCTATTACTGTCCATGAATAATCAAAAAGGCAATGCAGTCAGATCCAGCACAGTCAGCCTCTTCTAACCTTCACAGACACAAATCATTCTCTCCCTTTCTCTTCCTCCCTCACAGATATGCGCACACATACACACAAACACACACTCAAATAAAAAGTGGGGGCAACAATGCATAATGAAGAAACTTTTGTCTCAGAATTTTCACTTCCCTGCTTATTGTTCCTCAAATTATTACAGCTGTGTACTAACTTTATTATATGCAGAATTTCATTTAAACACATGGAAAATTAACAATGGAGGGAAAAAAGCTAATAGAAGAGTGGATATAAAAAAAAGAGAGGACCAAATGAAAGTGGTGCTCGTTGGAAAAAGAACTGGTAGTATTTCTGAAACCAGGAAAGCCTTTGCTCACAGTGCCCATGGGTGGATTATTTAAAATAATCACATGCGACGCCTGAACTTCTACCTTTGGAAACAGTTCTGTCTAAATCAATTCACATACCATTTTAAAGATTTAAGACTGTTGAAAAATGTGAGCACTGTTAGCTAAACATACAAAAAGGCACAGGAAATGAAAACTTTATTCTGATATACAGTAGAGTATTTCTTATCCAACATAAATGTGCTGGCAGAACACTGGATTTATTTATTTCGTATCAAAAGCATTGCATAAATTAGTATAAAACTGATAAAAATAGAAGGAATGTAGGCGGCTAAGTATCTTTTGACCAAAAACAGGCAACAGCAATGGCATTGTCTGTAGCTTCCAACACTTCTTCCTCTGTACATGAGGCAGGGCATTGTGGGCAAGCATACAGATGCGGAGTTGTCTGTTCTGCTCCACAGTCACACAAAGTGTGGGATTCTTTTAGGTAGGGCCACTTTGCCAGGTTATCTTTTGATCTGCCCACTCCATTTCTGAGTCTGTTCAGGGACTTCCAAGTTGCCCATTCTTTGTTTGCCTGTCGTGGAGGGGGAGGGGGGCATCCAGTTTGGATTTCCTGGTTTAGCTGCCCAGAGGGATACCCTTGCTGTTGCTGGGCGGACACCAAGAGGAGTAGTTCTCATAAAGCTTTTCCTTGATTTGAGTCTACTGGGAGGAGGCTGGTAGCCATGTAATGAATGGCTTTCACGCCATTCAACCTTATTTCTCTCCCATTTAGCAGCAACTTCCCATCGCACATTGGGGGGAGGGGGCAATGACAGCTAGCTAGTACAACAGGTGTAGGTTTAAGACATCCTGTGATTATTCTGCATGTTTCATTCAATGCTATGCTCACCTGCTTTGCATGGGCAGACAGAACATTGGATAATAAGAAGGGGTTAAGGAAAAGTCTATTAAACATCAAATTACGAGATGATTTTACAAATTAAGCACCAAAATCGACATAAAAAGCAGTTCAATACACGGTAACGTTATGTAGTAATTACTGTATTTATGAATTTAGCACCAAAATATCACAATGTATTGAAACAGCCGTGGGTCCAGGCGGGATAATACTGAATGTTGGATGAGTGAAGTTTGGATAAGCAAGTCTCTACTGTACAAGGAAGTGGAGAACAGGGCTTGCCATTAAAAAGCAGACACCAAAAAGTTATCCAAAAAAATTCTGCAACTGGTTCTAATATGATCACTGAAATGGACAAAAGGAGGAGGAGAAACATGGAGCTTCCAGCTTTAAGAAGAAAAGTCCACCGTCTTCTGGGTTTAGAAATAGAAGCAGAACATGCCATAATTGAACAACCTAGGTTTACAAAAAGAAGAATTTGACTACGCACAACACTTTGGCACATTAAACAATAAAATATTTATGAGCAGTTGAAACGTGATGAGGGCCTCTCAAGTAGTGTTTTGATGTTGCAAATTTTAATCTCTGCCTACCTATATATATAAAATCTACAGCAAGAATCATTTTGTGTACTTGGGTGCCAATTTATGTCCTTTTGATCCTGTATAGCATTGGAAGGGAAGAAAACAGTGAAAGGATTCTCAAAGCTCTGGTTCTTTCTGTGGCCAGCATCTATTATAGACAAGAACAAAAGCAAAGGATACAAATTACAAATAAGAGGCATTTGCTAATGAAGAGAATGGAAAAATTCATTAGCATTTATGAGAAAAGATTTTTATGAGCTAGATTTGCTTTCTTCTCACTTAATTTTTTTTAAAATGTTAGTAATATATGTATGTAGCACTTGAAGCTCCATTATCCTCTGATTGGTACCATTTGTTATGATAAATGTCAAATATAAGAACATAAGAAATAATTAGTGATACTACAAAAATAAGATGTTAACAGTGTTGTTCTAGATATATTTATTCAGTAGGTCTCACTGTAGTCAATGGTGTTTACTCTCTAGTATGTGTTATTTTATTTTATTTTATTTTATTTTATTTTATTTTATTTTATTGTGCCCACACTGTTTTTATTACTTGGTTTGAACAGCTTTGGCCAGAATGTTAGTACTGACTAGAAATGCATTCTTTTATCAAACCTAAGATACAGAATGTATCACATTCTATTTATATGTGATTCTTGGTTCCCTGAAGTTAAGTATTCTAACTTTTTTCTTGCATTAAGATAAATAAGTCAATATTTGTTTGTTTTTAGGAATACATTAGCATGATGGAAGACTAAGGGCAAACATAGACATAAGATAAAGAGAGCACTCACTGCTGATCCACGAGTTCCAGGATGAGCCTGGCTTCCTCACAGCTTCACAACTGAAATGACAGACGTGCATAATACCAGTGAACTGAACTCTGGTTTAGCCGTCAGTCTAGGTCTCCCACCACCATCCTATGCCTCAGATAGGTGCATGTTTTTTAAAAAAATCAAACATGCCCATGGAAGATTCACGTATTTATCCATATAATTTTTATAAATTAAAAAATATATAAAAGTGCAAAACTGTTTCAGGGACTGGAAGGTTCATCAGTCAATCAACGACAGAGAGTTTCTCCTTTAACAGTTGCAAGACTGCTTTTTTCCCTTTAGGCTAAAGAGAAGGACAGGTTGCTTACCTGTAACTGTGTTTCTTCAAGTCATTATCTGTGAAGTCACACAAATGGATTATACTGTGCCTGCACAGGACCCAATGGATCTTTGCAATCAGGCTCCACAGTTCAGGCCGATAGATTCAGCCTTGAGGATAGTGCATGGCCCAGAGGGGAGGAAGGACGGGGTTGTGTGACTTCATGGATGACCGCTCAAAGAAACACAGTTACAGGTAAGCAATCTGTCCTCCTTCTTCATGCTCTCCCTGAATCACACAACTGGAGACTATCAAACTAAGTGCTGGAGGTGGGGACATGCGACACCAGTACATTAAACTTAACCAGAAATATTTATCGAACAATAACAGTGCCGCTGGTGTGAGGGTTGGAAGGTTCTCTTGTATCCAGAGCCTGAGTTTTGTGAGGAGGGTTGGCAATGGGGTTGGGACTGTACAGTTGTGGGTACCATCAAGATCTAAAGATCTAAAGGAGCACTGGTGCTGAGATTATGGAGGGAGGCTATACTTCTTGGCAGTGGTATGGTGGGTAAAGTGCAGCTCCCCAATGTTGTTGGACTGCTGCTCCTGGCAGTCTTCCCCTCAGCTGTGCTGTTGCAATCCAACAATATTTGAAGAATGACATGTTGCCCACCACTGACATATCATCATAGAGGGAGGAAATGAATCAAGAAGACTACATTAGGATTACATAAAGAAGAGGGAAAATTCAAATATAGTAATGAACATTCTTTCCATATAATTTATGTATATTTTCAGAGACTTTCTCTAAACAGCAGCTGACCTTAAACCAAAGCACAGCTCAGCAATCAATAAAACAGAGAAAGAAGAACCGTCTTGCTTTGCTCTTATCCATCCCACAAGTGGCAGCCCAAGTTTTCAAAACCAAGAAAGCAATACAAGTTAAGTATCCATTATCTGAAATGCTTGAGACAAGAACTATTTTGGATTTCATTTTTTTCAGATTTTGGAATGCCTGTATTTGCATATAAGGTAGGTGTATAATGAGATATTTTGGAGACAGGATCCAAGTCTAAACACATAATACATTTATGTTTCAGATATACCTGATACACATTAGCCTAAAGGTAATTTTACACAACACGTTAAATAATTTGGTGCATAATACAAAGTTTGTGTACACTGAACCATCAGAAACCAAAGACATAAATCGCTATCTCAGCCACCCAGTGTGGATAATTTTGGATTTTGGAGTATTTTGGATTTCATTAAAACCAGGTTTTTGCATTAGATTCCAGCCTGCACTAAGGGAAGAAAATTAGGCTAATGAAGTCCCACTTCATTTATGAACATATTCTTTCCCATATAATAAATCAACAAATATCTACATTTTAGTTAGTATTGGTATTTTTATTGGAAATAAAATTAGCAAATATGGAGTGTAGATTCCAAAAAAAAGACCAAGAGGAACTTGTCAATCTTTGTTTATATTATCAATATGCATTATAGCTTGTCATATTGCATTTTGTTAACATTCCTGGCTATGAATTTTATAAATAGTTACTGAACAGAGCTATTCAAGAGTTAGTTACATTGTTTTATAACAGGAGGGTAATTGAATCATTTTGCTACAGCTCTACTAAATCATTCTTTTGAGAGCATGAACTGACAAGTGCTATTTGATATGGAATATGAAACTCTATCATTCTCTTCCTCGCATTTCTCACATCAAAGGCATCGAGATCTATCTCATTGTCTCATTGAGTTGCAAGATTTTCCCCCCTTTCTGTGCAGGTTATATTTATATACATTTTCTTTTAATGTAAAGTACTCATTTCCAGATACATGCTGCTACATGCACAATGGAGGACCTTGTTATAGTAACACCAGAGGCACTCCAAGTGGCCAAGTGGTCAAAGGACATTTAATCAACTACCAAGCTTGCAAACTTTGTGCTTTGTTTGTTTGTTAAAAAAATGCAATACAACTGCTTGGTTTGCTCCTGACACGATAAATAAATACATTTCCAGATAAACTAAAATGCATTTGTAGTTATTTTCCTAATGCATACTTTTCTGCTGTGCATATTTTTTTCATGAACACATACACATTTTTTATCTAGACGAACGATTTGTGTATCCCACCCCTCCAAAAACATGTCGCAGGACTCATAAATGTGAATATGTATGAGATGAGATGAGCTATCTTCTGCAGCAACGCTTTGGAGGTGCAAAACATCTCTGTGCGACATCTAGTGGAAAAACAGATGGTGCCCTACTGATCTAGCAGACGGTGTCACATCTTGATATTGGTTCAGTTTTCTGCAGCTACGGTCCACAGGTAGCAGCAGGTAAATTTCAAGTATCCACCTGCTGCTAGAGAAAACCATGATGCAAGTAACTGTGACCAACACCATGCAGGTGTTATGAAGGTCAAAAAAAGTGTGAGGATGAGTGGCAGAGTATTAGCAGTATTTTAAGCAGACAACACATCTTGATTAGCATTTATGTATTACATTTTATCTTTCTAAGGAAATTATGGTTAAGAATCATATGTTGCCATCCATTAATTGGTGCAATTCTGTGCTCTCCTTTTCCACTAATAAAGCCACAATTGTATTACCTGACTATGAAAGCTACCAACATCACCCAAGTGCTTACCGTCCAACTGTCTAACCCATTAAAACCGTATCTCATTGTCCTTCACTCTGATGGCAGTCCATTAATACACACATTCTAACAGCTTTGGAGCTGAAATTTACCTCAGCTAGTGATTTAACAGCATCCAAGGCTTAAAGTCAAAGTATATTATACAAAGCACATCTCTATAGTCTACCATGCCAGTTTCCTATCAAAGAAAAAAATTAGGCTGGACTGGTATAATTTGTTTCTGGCTAATTCATGCTATTTAGAGCATTCCATTTTCCACTGGTCATTTGCAAATGGACTGGATCTCAGTAGCTGCCTATGATACGGACACAATGGGATTTACAAGTATTTTAATGATGAACCCCTCAACAGATTTATCACCTGTCAGGAAACAAACACACTTGATTGCCTTGTGGCACCTTGACTACTATTAACCCAGCTGTGAATTTTCACATGCCAAAGTGAGAACAAATATGGGGAGACTGCGAAAGGAAAGTGGCAAGAGTCCATGCAACAATGCCTCACTAACAGGAGGCACAGCTCAGATATGGGCTTCTTAAAACTTCAAAATGGGATTTTAAAAAATCAAGATAGATTTGTTTCAACAGTAAAGCACAAAGTGAGGCACTGTTTGTAGGACAGGCCAATGGTGAATAAGACAGCAGTGGAAGGAGAAATTTGATTCAGGAATTTGATTCCCTCTATGATCCACCTCGGAGATTAAGATTTTCTGGGGAGGCCCTGCTCTTGATTCCACCTCCCTCTCAAGCTTGACTGGTGCAGACGAGAGACAGGGCCTTCTCAGTGGTGGCCCCTTGGCAATGGAACCCCCCCCCAGTGAAATGAGAGCAGCCCCCTTCCTAGAAAGTATGGTTATGTGACCAAGCTTTCAAAAAGCAAAGTTCTTAATGCAATAAGAGTATATGGAATAGTGAACAGAGCTATGGAATGACTACAGATTTTATTTCAGATGGTGTGATTTTAATAACTGTTTTTAATTAGAATCATAGAGTTGGAAGAGACCTCATGGGCCATCCAGTCCAACCCCCTGCATGTTGTGTGGCTTAAAGGGTGGGTTTGAATATAAATGTTATTGTATTACCAATGTTTCATTTTTTACGTTTTATGTCTAAATGTTATTTTATGTTTTAATATGGTCAGGTTTTTAATTTATAGTTATATGTTATTGTCTAGCTATTGTGTGTTGGTTTTCACATGTATTTATGGCATTGAATTTTGCCTTTATTATGTTGGAAATTGCTTTGATTTCCCTCAGGGGGAGAAAAGTGGTATATAAATTTAGTACATACATAAATAAATATTACTTTTGCTCTATTTTCTTTAATTTGTCCTGTGGAATACACCAGAATCTATACTGCTAAGTGACTGTACTAGCTAGAAAAGTGCAAAAGCACCAAATAGTCCAGCACCCAGAAGATCAGTACACTGATTAAGACCAATTTCCCCTCTTCCCACAATATCTCAGTATAAAACTATACTTCACACAGTAAACAATGCATCCTGTTCTGTCTTTTAATGGTAAGGATTGAGAGGCAATTTATGGAATAAACTGGGTGGGCAGGAGTTTAGCAAGAGGTTCATATAATATAATCTCCACTAGTAACTTTTAAAAAAAGTCCTGCTAGAAAATCCTTTGGTAGGCAGCACAGAATGCTGGCTGGCCATCAGGCTAATCAACCACAATGCTGATCTCTTGCCACTTTTTAAATCCTGTAAATACCTCTTCCAATCCCATTAATTTCATGGCTAGGTTTACAGATGAGAAATGAACCCACTTTAAAGGAGAGGAATCTAAGACAGCATATGCAGAGAAGAACTGGTGTTTCCTCTCATCCATACATTCATGTTATCCAGAAATCAAGAATTCAGGTACATGTGGTTGCTAACTCCATACACAAATCAACATGTTGCCATCTTGACAATTATCCTCATTAACAGCTGCAAAGGCGATTCTTCCACAAAGTACCTTTTCCTCTATTTACCCAAAATCGGGCATATGAATGTAAGTATACAAGTGTAGAAATGGTTAAGTTTAATCTGTCATGTTCCAAGTCAACATGATACATCTTTATCTCCACTGCAAGCTTAGATTTAGGACATCCTATTCCATCTGACATTTGAAACTAAGGCGTGTCAGCTTTGGTTAGTTCTTGGAAGGGAAACTGCCAATGTATACCAGGTACTGTGAGCTATATTTCAGAACTGGTAAAATCACCTCTAAGTATTCCTTGACTAAGAAAACCCTTTGGACTTTATGGGGTTTTCATAAGTCAACATGTACTTTAGAGGCACATTCACTCACATTGTAGTTTCAGACCCTCAGAGGTATGATGGAATAAATGCTTCCTCCAGAGATATACAGATTACTGAAATGATGGGGTAGAGAAATACGAATGCCAACGGGTGTTTTACAATCCAAATCAGCCGAAGAGGTGTGATTTCGGCTTGTTCTACACAACTTACAGACATATCATTATGGCATGGATTGTATTCATGGATCTGGATTGTCTGTGCATATTTGCAAAATAAAGATCCAAATAATACAGTAAGACTAGTTTATATTGACAAAAAACATTGAGAGCATATAGCAAAGGAACTATTTTATATGTTCACATACTAACTAACATACATTACTTATTACTCACCTGAAATTCATCAAAACAGAGGAGACAGGCCTCCTCACTTATTTCAGCAGCAACAGGGGCTATTGGGTCATATGATTTAGCCATTAATCCAGGCTTCCTTTTTGGTAGGCTCTGTTTAAGGCGATGTATTCCTAAATATAATTTAAAGACACAGGAAAAGTATTAGAAATGGTTTCAGTCTGTTTCAATCTTTTTTTTAAGTCACACTGTAACTATACATGAGCAAAATCATTGACAATTTGCACTACCAGCCAGGTTTTCCTGAATAAATAATGAGAAGAGGAGACACATTTGAAAAGAGTAAGAAAAGAAATATTTTTTCTTGAAAGCTCAACATTATTGCAGACATGAAGTGAAGGTCAAGGAGGTGAAGAAATCTTATGTAAGTCCAAAGAACAGTGTTGTTGTTGTTGTTCATTCGTTCAGTCGTCTCCGACACTTCGTGACCTCATGGACCAGCCCACGCCAGAGCTCCCTGTCGGCCGTTACCACCCCCAGCTCCTTCAAGGTCAGTCCAGTCACTTCAAGGATGCCATCCATCCATCTTGCCCTTGGTCGGCTCCTCTTCCTTTTGCCCTCCACTTTCCCCAGCACAATTGTCTTCTCTAGGCTTTGCTGTCTCCTCATGATGTGGCCAAAGTACTTCAACTTTGTCTCTAGTATCCTTCCCTCCAATGAGCAGTCGGGCTTTATTTCCTGGAGGATGGACTGGTTGGATCTTCTCGCAGTCCAAGGCACTCTCAGAACTTTCCTCCAACACCACAGCTCAAAAGCATCGATCTTCCTTCGCTCAGCCTTCCCTAAGGTCCAGCTCTCACATCCATAGGTACAAGCTACATATTAGTAGGCTGAGGAGGCAGAACCTAAGCAGAACTGATTTGCTTCAAATAATAATTCAGCTCAGCTGGTAGTCCTCAAATACCATGTTTCCCCAAAAATAAGTCACTGTCTTATATTTATTTTTCCTCAAGAAGCCACACTATGTCTTATTTTCAGGGAATGTCAGGCTTGGCCTCATGTAAGCTGCTCCGAGTCCCCTTGGGGAGATGGTGGCGGGGTATAAATAAAGTATTATTATTATTATTATTATTATTATTATTATTATTATGTCTTTTTTAAGTATGGCATAACAACCTGCATTTATTCAAATATACTGCTGAGTAAAACAGCAGCCACAGCTGCACTTCTTCTCCCTGAGGACACACAAAACCTAAAGCAGAGCGTCCTGCTCCTCACTTCATTGAGGAGACTTTCTAGGGGACAGGCCAAAGGGAAGCAGTGCTGCCAACCACAGCTCTTTTGGAGCCGGTGACTCACTCCCTCTCTCATTCACTCAGAGAGGAAATCTTGCCTTGCGTGGTCTAATGGGAAGAAAGGACAGAAGGAGAAGGAGGAAAAAGAGGAGGAAAAGGAGGGAGAGGAAAAGGAGGAGGAGGAGGCAGGAAGTGAGGAGTGAGGCTCGGACTCGTCTCTGCCGCCGCTGCGGAAAGTTCTTCCATTTCACTTTCTATGTCTCCCTCTATATCTCAGCTTGTATCACTATGTCTTATTTTTGGGGTATTGCTTATGTCGTGCAAATGCTTAGAAATCCTGCTATGGCTTATTTTATGGGTAAGTCTTTTTTTGGGGGAAACACAGTATAAAATGGCAACTTATTCTTGTCATTTATCCACAAGTTTTATTGTTGTGGATACAAATATTTTTTTGGCATAACACAGACCTTGAGAGCTCTGAAACATGGCAAATTGCTCCTGCTCCCTCCCCCTATAGATGTGCTTCAATAAAAGTGCTTTAATTTTTTAAAAACTTGAGAGGACATTATTTTTGAACAAAATTGGGTGGGGAGTGGGGAACAAAATTTCCACAGCCTTGCAGCAGTACAATATAAATTATTCAGGAGAAGGATGTCAAATCGCCTTATGAGCATCCAAAGCAATAAGAGAGAGCTGAAAGGTATAAACTTACTTTTGTGCACGTCTAGCATGAAGCCATGAAAATGGACTCTCTTTTTCTTTTCTACTTCTAACTGAGAATAAAAAATGTCCATCACCATTGTCTTTCCCGTACCTTCAAAAAAATCCAACAGGTTGTTAATTTAAAACACTATGTACTGATTACAGTAATGACTGTTCATTAGCATTGAGCTAATGAAATCACAACCATGATCTGAACAGCACAAAATCATTATCTTTGGGAAGCAAGACTTCAGTTTTCGTGGATAGAATCATTTGTATTTTCAGATCTGAAGTATTATATTGGAAACAACAAATGTAATTACCTCCTGCATTTGAAATACCTCAAACATTGTTTACAGAGAATAAATATCCATTTCTCATCACATTTTATTTCTTATTAAAGATTCCAAATAGTTCAGTATTCGGCTCCAGTGGTGACTAGCCAGAACAGAGTTTTAAAAAGGATGAGGGCTTTCCCCCCCCCCTTTTTTTTTTTGGAATATAAACTCTGGATTCTAGGGATTATAATCTAAAAAAGCAAATTTTCCAAGCTTTGAGCCAGATGTTTCTAAAAAAACTCCTCAGTGAAATGCATTGAAAATACAGTGGCTATAACTGCATGCAAAGTAGAAACTAGCATTCAAAGGCAAGCTGTGCCTCACAAAATACACTTTAAATTGTTTGTAGATTAGAAATAAAACTACATTAATGAGTTGATCCATAAATTCAATGTCTTTCAATATTCATATTTGATGCGCATGATCATGAAATACAGGTAGCCAGAATTATTTCTCTGGTATTATCCCATTACCGGCATTGGAAAATCTGGATTCTATTAACTGTAAATGCTACAGCTCGTGAGAATTTGCTAATAATTTTTATATATAATTTGTCATAAAGCCTTTAAACTTACCAACATCTCCATAGACATAAAGGCCTTTAGGAGGTTTGTTTTTTGTAAACCACTATGAATTAAGAAAAGAATGATTACAATTATAGTCAGAACAGTTATTAAAATATTTATATCCTGCTCTCCATCCAAGGATAACAGGGTGGTATACAATAAAATCAACTTAAACAGTTTAAAACACTATGAATAATTTAAACAGACCAAAAGGCACATTAAAATAGGATAGATCAAAACCAGTTAAAACACGAGACAATTTAAAATGATGCAAATTTGCAGGTCTAGATGAAATAAATTAGACACCAAAGTACTGAAATGAATCGGAATTTCTCTTCAGATTTTCTACATTTTATTACTTATTTATTATGATTGGGTTTCATATAAACAGAAACACACTATAGACAATAGATTATCCTACAACACTACTGTCACTCCAGTTATCCTAGGACTTGAAGGATAACAATGTTTTGCTGTGCTGATATTATGGCTTAGTTCAAATTTCTCTTAATGTTTTTCAAAAATTCTTCATTTATAGTATGACAATGCAGAAGCACTATTCACTAGTTTACTTTGATACTACAACTCTTTGGGGGGGTTTTAGTGGGAGAAAAAGGAAGACGACCCCCCCCCCCACACACACACACAAAATGTCTCAGAATTAAAAAGAAACCCACATAAAGGTGAGAATATAATCTTGCACCCGGTGTCAGAAATTGTCAGGGAATTGTTTAGTACTATACAACAAAAGGTCACTTGTTTGTGTTTTTTAAAAAGAAGAAATGCAGAAATAAATATTGTAAATTCCATCCACCTCACAATATATTTGTTTCAGCTTTGAGAAGCGTTTGGATAATATTGATATGGGCTAATATCAAAATAAATAAATATGTAAGTAAGTAATAACTAGTTAAATTCTTGCAGTCAGAAGGCCTTTAAACTTCTACTTCTTCAAAAGAAGCTGTGTGTCAATAGCATTTGAAATGGGGAGGGGGGGCGTTTACTGTTCAAAGTTAAAACGAACACAAATTTAGCTATACTTACAAATATTTGAGTTTCTTTTGGTGTCTTTCTTTACTGCTAGATTTTTATATTACTTGTTTTTCTTATTTTCCTAAGCAACTGGGAAAACAGGTTTTAGGCATGCATGGCATTCCAAGCAGGTATCAAACAACAACACAGCATTAAGACAGATCTCATCAGTTCATGCAATTATATAGAGATCAAATATAATATTCTGCAAATGCATTCATTTTGTTATTTTGAAAGACAATCTTTTTACAATCATGGAAATGCAACACAAGATTGGAAACTAATTCAAATTGCTGTTGTCTTGTTCTCATTTAGAGTCAGACAATTTCCTAAACTATATTTCAAGTAAGAACATTATAATACCACAAAGAACATGGTCTCCCCTATCAGATCACTCAGGTTCTTTGCCACCGAACTATTAATATGTTCAAGCAAGCCATAAAGGTCAACTGTTACAGCAAAGACATTTGAAGAGGACATTTAGAACAAAAATAAAATGTGGCTCAAAATGTTAATTTATGGTAATTTATGTAGCCCAGTATCTATTTAGCAGAAGATCTCATGCTTTCCATGTTCAATCCCCAATATCTCTAAATAAACAGAATTAAAAACACTTCTACAGGGACTATGTGAAGCTGAACAGTGTTTTGCAGAACAGACCTTCATAAGGATGCTCCCAATAGCAGTAGATTCCCGACAGTCAACACTTTGTTATACCTGGTATATCTCATTTGCTCCAATCAGTATTTCCACAAATTTCACTCTTCTCTGGGTCATATTTGTTACTTTCTAATATGTGAGTATCTAGCTGAATGCAGGGAAAAATATTAGAACTATTCCATAAAAAAGAAGATGGAAGTGAGGGGGGGGGGGGGGAGAGAGAAAAATTGCAGAAGCCCATTTAAGACTAACTGGTTTTCAGCATCACTTTGTGGATATATATCCATTTCTGTACAGAGGGATATTAACCCCTCTTTTATATATACATAAAAAACCTATCTATACAGTTGTGGGAGGGGGAATGAGTAATAGGATCCAGAAAGATCCAAATAATATTCCATGCTGTATATTTTCGAAGAGCTGGACAAGGAGACAGAAGTCTTTCTGAGCTTTTACAGTGGTCAATTAGTGCTGAAAGCAATAAATCTGTTTACCAAAAGTCACTTTCCTTGGTCTGAAAAATCTAAGAAGATTCCTTTTGTTATATGTACAAAATTATGGACTTTGATATTAATACATTTCATCTGCTGCCCCAAGACTGTAGATGACCTGCCAGAAAAGGTTTGACAGCTAAATCAGCTGTCAGAATATAAGACACAATTGAAGACCCATCTCTTCTGGCAGGCCTACTCAGTCAATTGTAAGTTGCGAATTTTAATTTGCAGTTCCTCGGTGGATTTTAACTCTGTGTATCTTGTTGTATGACTTGTAATAGTGTTTTATCTCTTGTTTAAATGAAAGTGTAGTTCACAACGAGCTGCAGGGAAAGTCAGGTAATAAATTATTATTATTATCATCATCATTATTATCATCATCATTATCATCATCATCTGATACACAACAAGGTTAGTACACAGCAAACAAGATCACTACGCTAGCTTTTGTACTTGATCACACACTTTCCAAGTGTCTAGAACTGTGTGATGTATCGGCGAATAATGCGTGCAAATCCAAGTAGGGTGGCCTTTTGCAGCTGACAGATGGTAATTTTGTCAGTGCCAATTGTTTTTAAGTGCAGGCCAAGGTCTTTAGGCACTGCACCCAGTGTGCCAATCACCAATGGGACTACCTTTAATGGCTTGTGCCAGAGTCTTTGAAGTTCTATCTTTAAATCCTCATATCGTGTAAGCTTTTCCAGTTGCTTCTCGTCAATTCTGCTGTCACCTGGGATTGCAACATTGATGATCCATACTTTGTTTTTTTCCACGATCGTAAGGTCAGGAGTATTATTATTATAATAATATAATATAATAATAATATAATATTATAATAATATAATATCGGTTCCGCCGGCGTCACAAGTGCGGCTGGCGGGCACGAGAGACAGGGCCTTCTCGGTGGTGGCCCCTCGGCTATGGAATGCGCTACCGGTGGACATCAGGCAGGCCCCTTCGTTGCTGGTGTTTCGGAGGAGGGTGAAGACGTGGCTCTACGAGCAGGCATTCGGATAGTCTATGCAGTAACAACCAACTCAATAATGACGGCATTGGACAAGGAATGGAAATGGATCATGAGATCGGAATCTGATTCTAAGTGTGGCGTTGATGACTATGGGTTGTTTGTATTGTGTGTCTTATACATTGTTTAGTGTTGTTTTTACTGTAAACCGCATAGAGTCGCCGCTTTAGGCTGATATATGCGGTATACAAATGGAGTAAATAAATAAATAATAAATAAATATATAAAGTCTTTTCTTCATGTGGACATAATATTGACCTTTGTTTAGTGCTGATGTTCCTTATTTACTCTGAACATACTTTTCTGTAAAAAAAAAATTAGTTTTTCGTCATGGCCTTGGGTTGGAACAATAAACATATTGATTCAGATATACGTAGAATGTCATGAAGTTATATCTTTGTTTATAGTTCTGCTAAAGGATTGGAATTTGGGGATATAATTCAATTTGGCTGTTTCTTTTTCCGGTCTTATTTTGTACAATCATCCTTCTACATTTGTGGCTTTGATTTTGGCAGATTTGATTGTTCATAGATTTAATTAATTTAATTAATCTCTAGGTCCTCCAGTATGATTCTATAGATAACTTCTTCCAGTCTTGCTGTTGGAGCTATAGATTTCAAACTAGAAATTCCTAAAAAGATGTTCTCTCCGGCAAAAAATTACTAATTTTTGTTATTAATGGTTTTTTGCTTTCACTAGGGTCTTGTACCCTCCAGACCCAGTGAATGCGAAGGTCTGATGGTACTTGCTTTACAAGTAAATCCATCTCTGATGTTGTGTGTGATATTATCGGGCCAGCTTTAGACCCAACCAACTGTGGAGTATACAATAAATACAATCAATTCTGGAGAACAACAGACCTCACACAAACTCTGGAAGGTATTTATTTACTTTATTTATTTTGCTTATATACCACTGTTCTCAGCCTGTCTAGGTCAATGAAGGTAGGCCTTCATTGACCTAGACAGCCCCAACATCTTAAATTATTACTCACTTAAAACTGAATGCATAACGCAGAAGGAAATTAAAGGCCACAGACCTAGATGCCAACTCAATCCCCACATTTACTCTGGGATCAATATGACAAAAGCTCATAATCAATATGACAATATGATCAATATGACAAAAGCTCATAACTCATAACATCAGTGATGTGTTTACTTGCTCGTCTTCCAAAGTGATATTGTGCCACCTTATAATGCAGGAGGATAAATGGGCAGAAAACGGACACAAGAAATGGCAATACCTCAAAACTAGTTGCAAAATATTTAAACCTTCTTGGACATCCATTAAGGGAGTTACAGATTGCGGCCCTTGAAATCACAAAGTACGTGGGTTTATATGTCCATGAACATCCACGCTAAACTAAAAACTGGTCAATCTTAAAGGTGCTACAACATTTCTTTTTTGATTTGCCCTCCTTTTTATGCTGTAAGAGATTAACACAGCTACTGCTTTCAAAAGCACCACTGAAGAGTTTCAGGTAGAGGAACCTAGGATAACTGAAATGGCAATAATGTCAAAGGATCATCTACTGTCTATAATGTGTTTCTGTTTATAGCCTGACTCTGCCACCTTCTGGCAAAAAGTTCTGTCATCAGCAATGACTTTACAATAAGTCAATGTTAAACCGAATAAGCAGCCTATGGTGCTCAACAACCTGAGCGCAGCTTGCAGCTTGTATCACGAAGAACTGAGAATAAGAGAAATAGGGAGCAGAGTATTCAGAAAGACCTGTAATACATGGGAAAATTCTGGATATTGCTGGAAGACCATCAGACTTGGCTATGAGTGATAGACTATGATGATACGATTGCTGGAAGATATGTTTACTATTTACTTATTTACCATATTTGTACCCCACCCTTCTCAACCCCGAAGGGGACTCAGAGTGGCCTCACATATCAGCAACAATTAAATGCCTTTAAAAAACATACAATTGGTAAGCATCTAAATTAAAAACCAGAGAATTAAAACATCTAAAAGCAATTACATCAATTACTAAAATCACATAATCCAAAATTGTAATCCAGGACCATTCCAATTATCATTGCACAGATTCTATGTTCATTTGTTGCACTGCAGTTATTCTCCAAAAGCTTGGTCCCATAGCCATGTTTTAACTTTCTTTCTGAAGGCAAGAAGAGAAGGAGCTGATCGAATATCATTGGGGAGGGAGTTTCACAGCCAAGGGGCCACCACTGTAAATGTCCTGTCTCTTGTCCGCACCAACTGCGCCTTCAAAGAAGGTGGGACTGAGAGCAGGGCCTCTCCAGATCTTAATCTCTGTGATGGTTCATAGAGGGAGATACGTAAGGACAGGTAAGCTGGGCTGGAACAGTCTAGGGCTTTATAGGCTAAAGCCGGCACTTTTAATTGTGTACGGTAGCAAACGGGCAGCCAGTGGAGCTGACATAACAGAGGAGTTGTATGTTCCCTGCACCCCACTCCAGTGAGGAACCTGGCTGCTGCCCGTTGGACCATTTCAAGCTTCCGAACTGACGTCAAAGGCTGTTTAGTAGTCCATTCGGGATGTAACAAGAGCTTGGACTACCGTGGCCAAGTCTGACTTCCCAAGGTATGGGTGCAACTGGCGCACAATTTTGAATTGTGCAAATGCTCCTCTGGGCATCCCCGAAACCTGGGGTTCCAGGCTCAATGATGAATCCAGGATAACACCCAAGCTGTGTCTTCAGGGGGAGTGTAACCCTGTCCAGCACAGGCTGTAACCTTATACCCTGTTCAGCCTTGTGGCTGGCCAGGAGTACCTCTGTCTTAATAATAAGGAAGACATGCATTGCAAGGCATGGGTTGGAGCATCAATTAATAGGAACTCTGTGATCAATCCTTAAATTTACCCAGGACAGATTCCTTTAGTTCTGGTGACACATAGGACAAAAAGTGAAATACTGGTTTTCACTTTAGAAATGTATAGGTGTTGCCACTTCAGCTTGAAAATAAAATAAGTAACTTCACTGTATTTTTGGAAGCTTAAAAGCAAGCTGTGTTTGCTATCCTGGAAACAAAACTTGATACAAGTAAACAGATATGGTACAATTTAAAACCATCAACATGAAACTGGGATTCCCAGAAGTAGGCCAGGTGTAGTGGTGGAGATAGTTCTTTTATAAATTTTTCCAAAGCACAATGAACACAAGAGCATACTGAGCACAGAGTAAGTGCTCCTGTATGAACAAAGGTTCCCACTTTTCCACTGCACTAAAATTGGAAAGCTCTGGTTGGCCTTTATATGGGCATCATAGCAATACAGAGAATATTAGGAAAGAGCCCTTTTTTACAGAAATATCTGAAGTGTTTATATAAATGTGACAGAATTAATTTTGTGGCGTACACAGCTATAAATAAAATTCTCACTTATATCAACCAAAATACTCAATCTGTGTTGTACTGTCAGAGACCATTAAAACACAAGATATCCATCGGGTTGTTGTAGGTTTTTTTCGGGCTATATGGCCATGTTCCAGAGGCATTCCCAGGAGGGAATGCCTCCTGGGAATGCCTCTGGAACATGGCCATATAGCTCGAAAAAACCTACAACAACCCAGTAATTCCAGCCATGAAAGCCTTCGACAATATGAAGATATCCATCATTTATATCTAAAATGGTATTAGATCATATTTCACTTTGTACTCTTATTTCACTGTTTGCTTTGCAGAGGAGTTCGGGGTGTGTTAGTTTCAACCAGCTTTTATGTGAAAACTGGGATTACTGATGCAATTCATACAACCGTTTGAGTCAAGAGAAAGGAACATAACATGCACACAAAAGATTTTAAATTCCGAATGAAGGTACCTTACCTTTGAGAATATGTGTTTTGGACTAATGCTGTAGCTTTTAAGGTTCTCGTGTAGCTTCTGTAAGCACTGTATGACTTTCCTTTGTTGCTCATCATTCTTCAGTTCCTCTTTTTTGATCAGAAACTCATAATGTTCTAAAGGTCCATTGCAAATTGACAAGGCTTTGGAATTGGCTTCTGTTAGATTAACTGGGATTGTCTTCTCAGCTGCCTGAACTGTGTAAGCTGTAGCAAAGAAAGAGAGAATGAGGATTTTCATATGGTCAACAAGGAAGGAAAACATAATAAGCCACATTCTTATCTAATATATTCTCATTAAACCTGCAGAATAGTTAGATAATTGTAGGTTCAAAAGTCATACCCTGACACTACCTCTGTAGGAGACTGGCTTTATTTACAATATGCATTGTTGTTGCTGAGACACAATTTAGATATGACACCTGACTGCCCCAGAACATGCATGTAGAATAAATAAATAAATTGCACAAAAGGGCTATTATCTGAATTTTAATTTATGCTACACACAGGTGCTGGCAACATAACTGGTGTTCCAAACAGGGTTATATACTTGCAAAGGCTCTGAAATACAAGCCTCTACCAGAATTTTTCCTTCTCTAAGGAAAAGTGTGTGGGGATGCAGATACTCCTCGGCTCACTTTTATTTTAGGAGATATGATGTGTCTGAAGCCAGCACACTTTAGATCAAAGTGGAGTAAAGAACAAATCAAGAGCTATTGATAAGTCTTTGGCTGCTTTGCAAAACGCTGAAATCTTACAGTAGTCATGAATTCATTTGGGTAAAAAACCACCACAAGATCCGCTTAGTTCTGGCACAGCTTAGTATGAGAATTTAATTTTAAGTGTGTGCACTTTCTGCCACACACTGGTTGAGCAATCTTGATGGTTCCAGGAAAACACAAGCGAGATCCCACAAGCCAAAAGGCAGTCCTTCCATGCTTTAGACCTTGAGGCGAGGATTATCTTGTTTTTAATCTGTGTACAACATTTAGTAAATTACAAGCACATTGGCATTCACTCAATCGCACATTAGCAGAATATATTTTCTTCTCAGCTTCCCACTACAAATCTCCATGTTTCCCGAAATGGGGCACCAGGCAATTTCTCAGTCTTTCAAAACAAGTAAGAATCAAAGGTTATAGGAAAATTTCACCTAGGATCCAGAAACAAAGCAGGTAAGTGAAACAATGCATTTTGTGAAGCCAAGAATTTGCTGATCAAAAACACATTCTTTGAGCAGCTAAAGAGATGGATGTATACATGTACATCACCTGATGCTAATATAGAAATCGAATAGATTAATCCTCATTGAAACAGAAGCTCCACCCTCCCTGCTAAAACAAGACCAGAGGCATTTGATGGCAGACCACGAACTGCTCATATTAAGCATTAGAATAAAGCTAAGGAAGGATACTAAACCAAGCATCATGCCAAAAGCACAACCTGAACAACATCCATATACAATTTCAAGATAATGTAAAATTGACTTGCACTGTTAAGCTTAAATGACTGGGAACTCAGAATAAGCCAGCAACTATTTATTTATTTATTTATTTACTGCGCTTATATACCGCAATTCTCAGCCCTTCAGGGCGACTCATTGCGGTGCCAGGAACATTGTCAGAAAGGCATGCAAAAAGTCATTGTCAGCAGCCAAAAACAGAAAGAGAAGGCTCAATGGATGGCAGTTGAAACTCTCCAAGCAATTAAGGATAAACAAGAAGTAACCTAAACAGGGAGCTCTGGCGTGGACTGGTCCATGAAGTCACGAAGAGTCGGAGACGACTGAACGAATGAACAACAACCTACACTTTTAGAAATTGAAGTAGCCCGAGCTCTTCCTAGAAGCCAAGATAATTGAACTGAGGCTGGATCTACACTGCCATATAATTCACAATATCAAATCAGATAATCCAGACTATGTTATTTGAACTGAATTATATGACTCTACACTGGCATATAATCCAGTTCAAATCAGATAATCTGGAGTTTATATGGCAGTGTAGATGGATTGCTGTAAGTTTTCCGGGCTGTATGGCCATGTTCCAGAAGCATTCTCTCCTGACATTTCACCCCCATCTATGGCAGGCATCCTCAGAGGTTGAGGGGTCTGTTGGAAACTATGCAAGGGAGTTTTATGTATCTGTGGAATGTCCAGGGTGGGAGAAAGAACTCTTGTCCACTTGAGGCAAGTGTGAATGTTGCAATTGGCCACCTTGATTAGTGTTTAATGGCCTTGCAGCTTCAAAGCCTGGCTGGTTGCTGCCTTAACTAGTAACTAATTAACGGCTTGAGCATTGGACGCCCCAGAGGTCCCTATACCAGAGACAGCAAACAAGGAAAACTTTCATCTCAGGAATAACCAACCTGCTTCAGGAACAATCCGTTACCTCCACATTTTGAGTATGGACTTTGTTGTGGTGAAATCAAGTTAGTGTCTGGGTTCAGACCCAAGACCAGTTAATAAATCGCTATCATTTCCTCAAAGCAACAGTGTGGACATTAAGTCTGTGGGGTTCCTTGCTCAAGCAGGAAAGCAATCCAGCATCTCCCAAGCTGATAGAAAGTTAGGACACATTAATGCTAAGGACATTTAAAGCAGCCTGGCTGTGACAACACAACACACTGTCAGAAATATTAAAAATTAGCTGGGTTGTCGAAGGCTTTCATGGCCAGAATCACTGGGTTGTTGTAGGTTTTTCGGGCTGTATGGCCATGTTGTAGAAGCATTCTCTCCTGATGTTTCACCTCACAATCTCATAGGTGCAAGTGAAACGTCAGGAGAGAACGCTTCTACAACATGGTCATACAACCCGAAAAACCTACAACAACCCAATTAACTGGGTATTTTTTATTACAAAAGTGTGAATCAAGCACTGAGAGGGTTAGTAGGCTGCAGCCTGTTAGAGTCAGTGGACCAAAGCTAGTGTCATCCTGAGGAGAGCGAGTAGGCCGAAGCTTGTTAGAATGAGTGGGTCAAAGCTAGTGTCGTCCTGAGGAATGTGAGGTTAACCTCTGTATGAGAGAAGACTCATGTGAGTAAGCTCCAGTATTAAGGCTGCTGCGTGTAAAGCTACTGTTTATTAATTTGTTATACAAACCTTGTTATTGTAAATAGTGCAACTATATTATTTTAAACGTCAAAAAAACCAAGATTATGGCAACAAGAATGATTGACAACTGGAAAATAGAGGGAGAAACCGTGGAGGCCATGACAGACTTTGTATTTCTAGGTGCAAAGATTACTGCAGATGCAGACTGTAGCCAGGAAATCAGAAGACGCTTACTTCTTGGGAGGAGAGCAATGTCCAATCTCGATAAAATAGTAAAGAGTAGAGACTTCAGACTGGCAACAAAGATCCGCCTAGTCAAAGCCATGGTATTCCCTGTAGTCACCTACGGATGTGAGAGCTGGACCTTAGGGAAGGCTGAGCGAAGGAAGATCGATGCTTTTGAGCTGTGGTGTTGGAGGAAAGTGCTGAGAGTGCCTTGGACTGCGAGAAGATCCAACCAGTCCATCCTCCAGGAAATAAAGCCCGACTGCTCACTGGAGGGAAAGATACTAGAGACAAAGTTGAAGTCCTTTGGCCACATCATGAGGAGACAGCAAAGCCTAGAGAAGACAATTAATCTGGGGAAAGTGGAAGGGAAAAGGAAGAGGGGCCGACCAAGGGCAAGATGGATGGATGGCATCCTTGAAGTGACTGGACTGACCTTGAGGGAGCTGGGGGTGGTAACGGCCGACAGGGAGCTCTGGCGTGGGCTGGTCCATGAGGTCACGAAGAGTCGGAGACGACTGAACGAATGAACAACAACATATTATTTTACTACAAAGAAAAGCTTTCTATGGAAGAGATAACATTGATAGAAGCTCCTGGTGGTGCAGTGAGTTAAACCCTTGTGCCAGCAGGACTGAAGACCGACAGGTCGCAGGTTTGAATTCGGGGAGAGAGTGGATGAGCTTCCTTTGTCAGCTCCAGCTCCCCATGTAGGGGCATGAGAGAAGCCTCCCACAATGATGGTAAAACATCAAAACATCCAGGCGTCCCCTGGGCAATGAACTTGCAGAAGGCCAATTCTCTCACACCAGAAGCGACTTGGAGTTTCTCACGTCGCCCCTTTTGGTTCTTTTTATCACTTTGGACTACTGGTGCTGGATCACACTGCTGCTGCTAAGTTGCTCTGCTGAACATTTATGAGGAGGGTCTTTTGTAATTAAGTCCACTCGCCTAACACACACATCATAGTTCCCAAAAAGTCTATAAAAGTTGAGCATCTGTGTCTTATCCAGAAACCTGAAATGTTCCAAAATTGTCCACATGTGTGGCTGAGTTTGTGATGCCTTTACTTTCTGACAAACAAAGTCATTAAGAAATAATGTTTACATATGTGTATATAACCCAGGCATTTAACCAAATTTACATAGACCCTGATTCTTTTGAGTTGACTCAAGTAATTCAAGTGCTGGGTGGGGCAGGGGGCTATTGCCAAGTACTTATGCCATGAAATGGAAACTTTTCAGAAGATTTTCAGTCAATTTACTCTTTTTTGTGTGTCAGGAGTGACTTGAGAAACTGCAAATCACTTCTGGTGTGAGAGAATTGGCCGTCTGCAAGGACGTTGCCCACAGTATGCCCGGATGTGTTACCATCCTGTGGGAGGCTTCTCTCATGTCCCCACATGAGAAGCTGGAGCTGACAGACAGGAGCTCACCCTGCTCCCCAGATTCAAACCACCATCCTTTGGGTCAGCAGTCCTGCTGGCACAAGGATTCAATTTGCTGAACCCACAGAAAGGCAGAGATGTCTGGAAGAGGTGTTATTCCCCCAAGAGCCCATTTTCCTTTCCTCCCAGTGCTTGTTTAGGAGTAATATAAGAGATGCAAGGTATCTACAAAACATAAATGAATATGTCATGTGTCTCATCTCCAAAATATCTCATGCATGTATACCAAAATAGCCCAAAAATCCGAAATACTTCTAGTCTCCAGCATTTCAGGTATGAGTTACTCAGCCTGCTATACATTTGAGAAATGTTTGGGCTGGATCTACACTGCCATACGCAGGCAGTCCCCAAGTTATGAGTAAGATAGGTTCTGTAGGTTTGTTCTGAAGTTCAATGTGTATGTAAGTTGGAACAGGGACATTTTAAGTGCAACTCCAGTCATATCTACTTTAGCTAGCTACCTAGCTTTGGATAGCAAAGGGAAGGGCTGACACCCCTGTGGTGCTTGTTTTGCTGCCTGTGCCCCTGCTCAGAAGATGTCACCTTCCCTCCCGGGCACTGACTGACCTTTCCTCGGGGCGGCGGGGGCCTGAGCCCGGCGCGCGGCGTGTCTCGCGGCGGCCCGCGCGAGGCGGCAGCAGCTCCCGGTAACCAGGGGCGACATGCACGAGGCCATTCCGCCGAGGAGGCGCCCCTCCCTCCGCGCGCTCCCCTCCTGTCGGGGGAGGGAGGGAGGGGAGGAAGGAGGGCTTTCCTGCTCCCCAGCACCTTCACCTTAGGCCTCAGCCGGCGTCCCTCGCGAAGACTACGAACCCCACAATGCAGCGCGCGGACCTCCCGAGGCAGCGGGATAGTGAGCCGGATGCAGGGGCATGCTGGGAAGTGGAGTTCTTTTTGAGTTGTGAAACCTCATCCGAAAGAAAGGGTGCATTTACACCAGTGGTTTTCCTACATTTTGGTCTTCCAGGTATTTGGGGCTTCAGCCCCCAGGATCCCTAGTCGTTGGACAAAGCAGCCGAGCTTCCTGGGAATTGAAGTCCAAAACACCTGTAGGACTTGGGCCCTCCCGTCAGGTGTTTTGGACTTCAACTCCCACCATTCCTAACAGCCTCGGGCCCTTTCCTTTTCCCCCTCAGCCGCTTAAGCAGGGCCAATGTTTGCCCATGCCTGGTAGATGTGCTCCAAGTCCCACCTTCTGAGACAACAGAGAGTAAGCCTGCACCCTTCTCTTTGTGGCAACCCTTGAGATAAAGAGTGCAATCAGTCTATGGCAGTGGTTCTCAATCTGTGCCCCCCCACCCCCAGATGTTTAGGCCTTCATCTCCTAGAAATCCTAACAGCTGGTAAACTGGCTGGGGTTTCTGGGAGTTGTAGGCCAAAACACGTGGGGATCCACAGGTTCAGAACCACAGGTCTATGGATTGCACTCTTTATCTCTTTAGGATCTGGAGCCCCTAGTGGCGCAGTGGGTTAAACCCCTGTGCCGACAGGACTGAAGACCGACAGGTCGCAGGTTCGAATCCGGGGAGAGCCGGATGAGGTCCCTCTATCAGCTCCAGCTCCAGCAGGGACATGAGAGAAGCCTCCCACAAGGATGATAAAAACATCAAATTCGTCCAGGCATCCCCTGGGCAATGTCCTTGCAGACGGCCAATTCTCTCACACCAGAAGCAACTTGCGGTTTCTCAAGTCACTCCTGACACGACAAAAAAAAAATCTCTTTAGGATGTTGAAGTCCCAATGCATACAATTGCATATTATGCCATGTCACTTATATCAAATGGCCAAACCAAGATTTGCTTTTTCAAGCTTTGTTGTTCATTCGTTCAGTCGTCTCCGACTCTTCGTGACCTCATGGACCAGTCCACGCCAGAGCTCCCTGTCAGCCGTCACCACCCCCAGCTCCTTCAAGGTCAGTCCAGTCACTTCAAGGATGCCATCCATCCATCTTGCCCTTGGTCGGCCCCTCTTCCTTTTGCCTTCCACTTTCCCCAGCATAATTGTCTTCTCTAGGCTTTGCTGTCTCCTCATGATGTGGCCAAAGTACTTCAACTTTGTCTCTAGTATCCTTCCCTCCAATGAGCAGTCGGGCTTTATTTTCTGGAGGATGGACTGGTTGGATCTTCTCGCAGTCCAAGGCACTCTCAGACTTTCCTCCAACACCACAGTTCAAAAGCATCGATCTTCCTTCGCTCAGCCTTCCCTATCCAGCTCTCACATCCGTAGGTTACTACAGGGAATACCATGGCTTTGACTAGGCGGATCTTTGTTGCCAGTGTGATGTCTCTACTCTTTACTATTTTATCGAGACTGGACATTGCTCTCCTCCCAAGAAGTAAGCGTCTTCTGATTTCCTGGCCACAGTCTGCATCTACAGTAATCTTTGCGCCTAGAAATACAAAGTCTGTCACGGCCTCCACATTTTCTCCCTCTATTTTCCAGTTGTCAATCATTCTTGTTGCCATAATCTTGGTTTTTTTTTGTTTAGCTGCAACCCAGCTTTTGCGCTTTCTTCTTTCACCTTGATTAGAAGGCTCCTCAGCTCCTCCTCGCTTTCGGCCATCAGAGTGGTGTCATCTGCATATCTGAGGTTGTTAATGTTTCTTCCAGCAATTTTTCCCCCAGCTTTGCATTCATCAGCCCCGCACATCGCATGATGTGTTCTGCATACAAGTTAAAAAGGTTGGGTGAGAGTATGCAGCCTTGCCGTACCCCTTTCCCAATCTTGAACCAGTCTGTTGTTCCGTGGTCAGTTCTGACTGTTGCTACTTGGTCCTTGTACAGATTCCTCAGGAGAGAGACAAGGTGGCTTGGTATGCCCATCCCACCAAGAACTTGCCACAATTTATTATGATCCACACAGTCAAAGGCTTTAGAATAGTCAATGAAGCAGAAATAGATGTTTTTCTGAAACTCCCTGCCTTTCTCCATTATCCAGCGGATATTGGCAATCTGGTCTCTCTGTTCCTCTGCCTTTTCTAAACCCAGCTTGAACATCTGGCAACTCTCGCTCCATGTATTGCTGGAGTCTTCCTTGCAGGATCTTGAGCATTACCTTACTGGCATGAGAAATAAGGGCCACTGTACGGAAGTTTGAGCAGTCTTTCGCATTTCCCTTTTTTGGTATGGGGATATAAGTTGATTTTTTTCCAGTCTGATGGCCATTCTTGTGTTTTCCATATTTGCTGGCATATGGCATGCATTTTTCAAGCTATGGGTGTAGAATCCAAATATATGCAGAGCTAGCTGTATTTCTCTTGATTTGGATATATATATATATATATATACACACACACACACACACACACACACACACTATTTATTTCACATGCCAGTAAGGTAATGCTCAAGATCCTGCAAGGAAAACTCCAGCAATACATGGAGAGAGAGTTGCCAGATGTACAAGCAGGGTTTAGAAAAGGCAGAGGAATGAGAGACCAAATTGCCAATATCCACTGGATATTGGAGGAAGGTAAGAAGTTTCAGGAAGACATCTATTTCTGTTTTATTGATTATTCTAAAGCCTTTGACTGTGTGGATCATAATAAATTGTAGCAAGTTCTTGGTTGTATGGGCATACCAAGTCATCTTGTCTGTCTCCTGAGGAATCTGTATAACAACTAAATAGCAACTGTAAGAACAGACCACAGAACAACAAACTGGTTCAGTACTGGGAAAGGAGTACGGCAGGGCTGTATACTCTCACCCCACCTATTAAACTTGTATGCAGAACACATCATGCGACGTGCAGGGCTTGATGTATCCAAGGCTAGAGTTGAAATTGCAGGATGAAACATTAACAGCCTTAGATATGCAGATGATTCTACTGATGGCTGAAAACTAGGAGGTGCTGAGGAGCCTTCTAACCAAGGTGAAAAAAGAAAGTGCAAAAGCTGAGTTGCACTTAAACATTAAAAAAAACCAAGATTATGGCAACCAGACAGATTGATAACTGGCAAATAGAGGGAGAAAACATGGAGGCAGGGACTGACTTTGTATTTCTAGGCGCAAAGATGACTGCAGACGCAGATTGCAGCCAAGAAATCAGGAGACATTTACTTCTTGGAAAGAGAGCAATGACCAATCTCGATAAAATAGTGAAGAGTAGAGATATCACACTGGCAACGAAGATCCACATAGTTAAAGCAATGGTATTCCCCGTAGTAACTTACAGATGTGAGAGCTGGACCATAAGGAAGGCTGAACAAAGGAAAATAGACGCTTTTGAACTGTGTTGGAGGAAAATTCTGAGAGTACCTCAAATCGCAATAAATTCAAACCAGTTCATAATAAATAAATAATGCCCAACTGCTCACTGGAGGGAAGGATATTAGAGGCAAAGATGAAGTGCTTTGTCCACATAATGAGAAGACAGGAAAGCTTGGAGAAGATAGTGATGCTGGGGGATATGGAAGGAAAAAAGAAGAGGGGCCGACCAAGGGCAAGATGGATAGATGGTATCCTTGAAGTGACTGCCTTGACCTTGAAGGAGCTGGGGGTAGCGATGGCTGACAGGAGCTGTGGCGTGGGCTGGTCCAGGAGGTCACGGAGTCAGAAGCGACTGAACGAATAAACAACAACAACACACCCCTGGGGGGGACTCAAGGTGGTTTACAACAAATTAATGGCAAAAAAAAATCAATGTCAACTTAAATAGAAGTTATGCTTCTATGAATGCAGGCAACAATAGCATTTGCCTGCTGGCTCATGTTCAATGTGTCATTCACAGTAATCCCAAGGTGTGCTTGCCTCAGTCTGAAAGCTTTTGGAAAATGGAAATCTCCATAACCTTTTGGAGATTTATGATCTTTGGAAAGACATGACCTTGTTAGAAGTTATAACCTTTTTGAAAATGATGCCATAGCCTCTTGGTAAAAAGCATGATTTGTTAGAGTCATAACCTTCTGGGAAAATTGTATTCATGCAAGATAGTTAGGTGTTAAACCTATGTACCTAGATATTTCTTTGAACTGTTAGGGAGAAAGATGTCCAAATGCATAAAAAGCACATATATAGCAGTTTCCAAAGTGTTCTTTTAGTTGCTCAAAAATGTACTCTCCCTTAAATATATTTGCCTTTAAGTCGTGTTCTCAAGAGACAAAAATAAGCAGATTTCTTTAAAAGTAACATAGTTGGTTTAACCACAAACTTTGAGTATTCAGCATACAGATACTTTGCTTATCAATACAGTTACAAATAGGTTCCTCTGTGTCGATAACGCAGGGCATTTTTCTTTCTCCCACCCTGGACGTTCCACAGATATATAAACCCAATTTTCATAGTTTCCAACAGACCTCACAACCTCTGGGGATGCCTGTCACAGCAGTGATTTTTAGTCAAAACTGCTGAACTCACATAAGTGTTTTTATTTATCGTGTCAGAAGCAAATTGAGGGTACAGTTATAATGTATTTAAGAAAACATAAACAAAGTTTAAAACTTAGCATTATACTAAACATCTTTTGACCAGTAGTTAGCCACTTGGAGTGCCTCTGGTGTCACTGTGAGAATGTCCCCCATTGTGCATGTGGCAGGGCTCAGGCTGCATTGTAGTAAGTAGTCTGTGGTTTGCTCTTCTCCACACTCGCATGTCATGGGCTTCACTTTTTAACCCCATGTCTTAAGGTTAACTCTGCATCTTGTGGTGCCGGAGTGCAGTCTGTTCAGCGCCTTCCATTTCGTCCAGCCTTCTGGGTGCTCGGAAGGGAATTTCTCATCCGGTACAGCCATGGATTGAAGTTCCGAGTTTTAAACTGCCACTTTTGGACTCTCGTTTGCTGAGGTGTTCCTGAGGGTG